TAGTGGCAAACCAAAGACTTTATAGAATTAGTTTGTTTCTTACTACCTCATAATCTCATACTAGGATTGGAATTATTTCTACTTGTTTCTGAAATCTGGCAGGTCCAACTGGACAAATTTTTAATGCATTTGGAATCTCATGGCCCGATGCTGCACTTTTGTTCACAGTTAGGGTAAACGCGGTATATTCCAACTCCAACACATTAAATATGTAGCAAGAAATGAACGGCTATAAAAATATCACCGTATGCGCAACTCGAGTTCTGATTGGTTTAAGACTTTACGTCACTCTCAAAAAGCCACACTACGCGCCAGCAATGAAATGTCGCAAACTGTTGCCATATATATATATACAGCAATCCCTTGATTAACACGGTTAATAAATCCCTGAGTTTTACTGTGTTAAGCAAAACCGCGCTAATCAAACTTAATAATATATGGGAATAATTATAATGAATCCTCAAAAATAGCAAAGTTACATAATAATTTTTTTTCCACTAAAATTCATCATATTTTTTTCTAAATAATAGGGGAAATAAATAAAAGAAATGCGAATGAATTAGCGTATTGTTTCCCTTGCCTATGGTTGACTAGCCTATTGTTGCCTATTGTTGTTTCCCTTGCCTAGGTCTTCACCGATCTTCGTTTTCATTTCACCATTATCAAAACGCTTAATTATTTCAAGCTTAGTCTCCAAAGTGATATTTTTACGTTTAAGCGTTCCCTTTTTGTCCATAATTATGACGGTAATTTATGAAGGAAAATTATGTAGTTTGATAAAAATGAGCAGTAGATATGGCAGCAATCTTGACCAGTTGAAGGCAAACGAGTAACTAGAGCACCGGCATGGCGCACTTACCGGCGAACGTTGCCAAACTCGACCATTTGAGTTATGAACGAGACAAGGCGCGGTTAAACCGACTCTGTAGTCAGCACAAGTGCCTACGGAACGGGACATTATTTAAAGAATTATTGGCTGAAATACATAAAGTAACAACATTTGGCGAATTTTTCCAAAAGTCGTAACAAAAGTAACAACATAAGATCTAATAAGCAAAAAGTAACACTTATTACGAACGTAACACCTCTGGCTAGAGGCGGGAAAATGATGCGATGTGAAAAAAAGTCGCGCTAATCAAAACTGTCACCGCGTAGATTAAGGGTAGGTCGCAAATTTTTTTTCCGCGTTAATAAAAACCGCTGTATTCAAAACCGTGTTAATCAAGGGATTGCTGTATTTATTTAAAAGCCTTTAGAATTCAAACCGACAAAATCCCTGAATTCCGACGCTGTGTGTGACTAAATTTGGCATATTGTGAGACTAATTACGGCAGCGCTTCAAACTCTAATAATTTGTAATTCCTGCACCCTGTGTTGGAATTCCGATGCCCTGTGTGAGCTGTATTGGAATACGACACAGCTTGGAACAAGCTTAATTAAAAATTTTTAATTTTTTTAATTAAGCTTTTAATTAAGAGCTATTAAGCTTTTAATTAAGAAAATTTTGATGTTTGGACACGGCTCGAAATGAGCTGTGTGTGTCTAATTCCAAGCTGTGTTGGAACTAGTTTTTATTGCTCGTCAGAAGTCCTATGGGATTTCGCGCTCCTAGGGGGATTGTTCCTGAGCGCCCCACCGCTGAGCTCGCGGTGTCTGACTGTAGGTCTCAGTTGTGGGGTTAAGTTATTATGTAGGCAGGATTCCTTACATTAAGTTATTATGTAGGCAGGATTCCTTACATTTCCCTTCTCTGTCTCTCTCGTGCAGGCGGCCAACGTCCCGTGTAAGCGACCTCTTGTTCGAGTGTCTTCGTTTCTGTTGCTTTTAACCTGTCCCTCCTTGTCACTTTGTCTCTTTGAGATGCTAACGCTGCTTCCTTCGAGCCAGCTTCAGCGGGCTGGACATGTGAGACTTTCCGCCTCTTGTGGGTGATGAATAATCGAGACCTTCCACCTCTATGGTGATGTTCATCTTGACTTTCGGTGCGAGATAGCTAAATAGCTGAAGCGCTAGTAAACATTTGGCCACTAAACTAACTAACTAACTTAATCATCCATTAATTTATTTACCACTTGAAATCAGCTCATACAACTTATACAAGTATACTTAAAGGATTCCTAACATATTTACAGACTTATTTAAAAGTCTCAAACCATAAGATTCTTTCTACACAAACAGTTTATCATTTGGTAGAGCAAGGTCAACTATCAACTTTGACATGTTTTTCGATGTTCTCACTGGGTGACGTGCACTGTCTCTCTTTGGATCTTAACATTTTCCAGCCAGACAGCCCAGACCTAGTGTTTTGGCAATAGCATGGCGCGCAATAGTATGATGTCACTATTTCAACCATCAACGAATGTGTGGAACTAAGATAAAGCTTAATATAAAGGAAAAAGTTGAGAAGTGTCGGAATCACCCACGATGTTGGAATATACCGCGTTGCGGTATATATAGTTGCAGCCCTAATGGTAGAAGTTTTCCACGCTTGCCTCATCTACTTGAGAATCTTGAGTAGATGAGAATCTACGCAAGCAGACATGTGTGGGCATCACTCACATTAATTACCATTGCATGCTGTAATAGCATTATATTAATTGCATTGCATGTGGTAATGGCATTGCTTGCAGTATCAGTATTACAGCTAAATAATGCTGGCAACATAGGGTAAACACATCATATTCCGACCCTGTGGGTAATTCGGACACCCCTCAACTTTTTCCTTTATATTAAGCTTGGTCTTATTTCCACGCACGTGTAGATAGTTGAAATAGTGACGTCATAATATTGCGTGCCAGATTTCCGCAAAACACTAGGTCTAGCGGGAAAATGCTAAGATCCTCAGAGCAAAACTCCAAGTCAACTAGTGAGAACATCAAAACACATATGAAAGTTGATAGTTGACCTTGCTTTACTAAATAGTAATAAACTGTTTGTGTAGAAAGAATATTCTGGTTTGAGACTTTTAAATAAGTCTGTGAATATATTAGGAATCCTTTAAGTATACTTGTATTTGCTGATTTTAAGTGATGAATAAATTAATAGATGATTGATTTAAGAGACGGTTTTAGACACATAAAAACTAATTCCGACACAGGGGGTCCAAATTACGACACACAGGGTGTCGGAATTCCAACACAGGGTGTCGGAATTACGAATTAAGATTTTGAAGTGCTGTTGGAATTAGTCTCACAATATGGCGCATTTAGTCACACACAGTGTCGGAATTCAGCGATTTTGTAGATTTGAATTTTAAAGGCTTCTAAATAAATATGGCAATGGTTTGTGATGTTTCATCATTGCTGGCGTATAGTGTGGTGTTTTGAGAGTGACGTAAACCAATCAGAACTCGAGTTGCACATAAGGTGATATATTTATAGCCATTTATTTCTTGCTATGTCTTTAAGGTGTCAGAATATGGTGTGTTTACCCTATTTGGCCAAAAACCAAATCTTGGCATAGGATTTGCTATAGTTTGCATTTTTGCAAACTGGTAATGTCTTGGTGTGACTGTGTAAGAAACATCTGTTCTCCATGTTATATATGGTAATTTTATATTAACTTCCAAGCCGGTCTATGTTACCCCGTCAGGGCTGACATTAGGTGGTCTAAGTTACCCCATTTGGGGGCGGCACCCCCCATTTGCAAACTATGACACTTCCCTAAAATTTGTCATTTGCATATGTAACTAGAAGAGTTCTACTACAATGTATCAAAACCTGGAGTTATATAACCAAAAAATGAAAAAATTGGAGGGGGTACTCTGACAGGCTTTAAATAATAGCTTTTTTTCGTGGGTCACATTTTTAATTTTTTAACCTATTAGATATGCAAACTTTTTAAATCTTTCTATTGCGTTATGTAGCCTCAGTATTAGGCTTTTAATGCCTACTGACAAAATTTTTCTATGTCAAATAGTTTTTGAGTTCTGGGGTTTTTTGTTGAAACAACTAAAAGTGGTCTAAGTTACCCCGCCGGTCTAAGTTACCCCATTTTACGGTATGACGTCACTATTTCAACCATCTGCGCATGCGTGGAACTAAGACAAAGCTTAATATAAAGGAAAAAGTTGAGAAGTGTCGGAATTACCCTCAGTGTTGGAATATGGTGCATTTACCCTACTTGAGAATCTTGAGTAGATAAGAATCTGCACAAGCAGACATGTGTGGGCATCACTCACAATAATTACCATTGCATGCTGTAATAGCATTACATTAATTGCACTGCATGTGGTAATGGCATTGCTTGCAGTATCAGTATGACAGCTAAATAATGCTGGCAACATCTTAGGCCAAAAACCAAATCTTGGCATTAGATTTGCTATAGTTTGTATTTTCCACACTGGTAATGTCTTGGTGTGACGGTGTGAGAAACATCTGTTCTCAAAAGTCCAATCCACATTTTACTTCTATATGAATTCTTGAATTTTTCCCACTATATCTATACACAGCTTCCCTAGCTGGAAAATTAAGTGGAAGCCACACAAGAATAGAACAAATACCCCTTTGAATCTGGCCAATCTCACCTTTTCCTACAGCCTTTTTCTTATTTTTCAGTGGAAAATAAGGAAAATGGCATATCTCTGTGCCCTGGAATTTTTGAGCAACAAACTTGCTTTGTCAAACTATGAGTTCATGCCATACATACATAATCTGATGATAATCATAATGCAACAAATTTCTGAACAACACTAGAAGTAGCAAATAAACCATTTTCTTCAAATAAGAGGCATTTAAGCACATTAAACTGTATTTTTACCATTTTTGTGATAGAAGCAATGCAGGTGTTACACAGCCATTATCAAAAAAATCCTACTTCTTTTTGAAGCATTGCAACTCAGTTGTGGCAGTGGTGTTGATTGCACAATCTTGCGGCAGAAGTGGATATTGGTATTGATTGTCCCATTCTGTGGTGCTGGGGGTGGCAGTGGTGTTACTTGCACGTTTCTGCAGTGGCACCGGTGTTTATTGTAAAATCATGCAGTGGCTTGTGGTGTTAATTGTATAATCATATGGTGGTAGTGGTGTTGATTAATCTATGTACTTGGTGACGGCAGTTGATGATGGTCAACTAAAAATGTTGGTAAAGTCATTGTTTAGGACATTTTGGGAAGAGCATCTCATTGAACTACCAACATCAATATTTTTGAATGAGTAAAAATACATGACTTAGGAATCTCTTTATAATTTTGTATTCAATATTTGAAGTGGCCTTGATATAACTCTTTTACTTCATGTCTTGTCAGGTATCTTGTACAAGGGAATGAAACAATAAGTGTTCTAAAATGCCAAGCAATGTGAATGCCTCTACAAATACTGTAGCAAAAGATGCAGTTGCAGAGCTCACTGAAATATTGAAACAGTGGGAGGAAGAGCACACAGTCCCTGGCAGTGACCCGACTCCACATCTCATCAAGCTTTGTGAATTATTTGAGCTACATACCCTGAGTTTTCTTAAAAGGGTGAGGGATTTATTTACCATAAAAATTTTCTGGTGATTATGTATTACACTGTTCTCTTTGTAAATTTGATTTCCTTTTTTAATTTTTGCACAATGCCTGTATTGGTCAAGAAGATAATGGTCTTCTGTCTGCTTGATTGTAAATGCCAAGCAGACCTGAATGAAATAATCTCTGATTTGCTGCTATAATTTTAATGCCAATTAATAATTCATAATAGTTGTATTGATTTGTAGAAAATATTGAACAATTTGCTATATACTCTACTATTTTATTAATTCAAATTCAGACAGAAACAGCATCATTAAAATATAAACATTTTGGTTTACATTTTCAGTGCTGTGTTCCATAATTTTCACTCTCCTAGGATCCTGACCCATTTGATGACCGGCATCCTGTCACATCTGATCCTGAGGGAGCTTTGGGACAAATTTTGAGAGCACTTTTGAAGCGAGATGTATTCATTACCAAGCTTGTTAACCACTACTTGCGAGACAACTACTTCTCATCTCAAGGCCATACTCGAGACTCAACTCCAGTCAACACTGCTGCCTGCAGGCTCATGCTGGACCTCCTGCAAGGACTTGATATCCCCCAGGTGTGTGGAGACATGGAGCATTTCTACTGCTCTTATTATTTGTGCTCCAATAAGTAATACCTATATTTTTTATTTTTCTGATGATTGGTAGGTTTTTGCCCCAGTAAGTTAGGTACCGGGTATCTCTCTAGCAATATTCTGATTGCCATTTATAAATTTAAAGTCTTGAATTATATAACTTTTTGTAAATTTATGTAAATTAGTATCTCTTGATTGGAACTAGTTGATTTTTTTAACCCAGTTTTAAAAATTATGGTCGAGATAAATTTGTGCTTAATCTATGATAGTATATTATTTTTTTTACCGATTGGCATATTTATCACATGTAAAAGCTGTTTGCAGTGAAGAAGTGTTATATAACATGACTGACTGTCAGGCTTGGAAAATGGCATTGGCTTCCATGTTTGAAGTGAGAGTCCTCATCTAGATTGAAGGAAATAATATAGATGACAAATGTGTTTAGATCAGGAAGTATCCAGAGTCAGAGGGTGTTGAAGCATGAGGTACTACCTACAGTACTTAATATTTTCCTAACTAAAGCTAATTCCTTCCTTCAGGTTTTCCGCGATGGAGACTCAACTGTGTCAAAGTTGTTCACGTGGGCTGAGAAGGCGCCAGAACCACTGCGCACATATGCTACAGGCCTGCTTGCTGCTGCTGTGGATATTCCTGACATAGCAACTAACTTCAGGGACAGTAATGCTCATCTTCTCCCAATTATGTTGAACAGGCTCTGGGATCTGAAAGATGAAGGTACCTCTGATATAGTATTTTATTTTCTTTACCGATAGGCATATTTATCACATGTAAAAACTGTTTGCAGTGAAGAAGTGTTGTATAACATGACAGACTGTCAGGCTGGGAAAATGACATTGGCTTCCATGTTTGAAGTGAGAGTCCTCTTCTAGATTGAAAGTCATAATATATATGACAAATGTATTTAGATCAGGAAGTATCCAGGGTCAGAGGGTGTTGAAGCATGAGGTACCAGTAACCTACAGTACTTTATCTGTTTCTAATTAAAGCTAATCCCTTCTTCAGGTTTTCTGTGATGGAGACTCAACTGTGTCCAAGTTGTTCACATGGGCTGAGAAGGCGCCAGAACCACTGCGCACATATGCTACAGGCTTGCTTGCTGCTGCTGTAGATATTCCTGACATAGCAACTTAACTTCAGGGACAGTAATGCTCATCTTCTCCCAATTATGTTGAACAGGCTCTGGGTTCTGAAAGATGAAGGTGCCTCTGAAGTTTGTTTTATATATGTTAATTCTGCCACCATTCTTCTCGTGTGCCTTCAAGCTCTTTCATTTTATCTGTGGAAATGATGATACTCTTGTGAAATTTTTGGTTTTGTCCTTAGAAAATATCAATATGTTCAAGTCTTGTGATTTATTTTTATTAATTTTTGAATGAACCATCTGCATTTTTCCATTATTACATTGGTATTTGATTATTCTAGACACCAGTGTTGAAATGCATTATCATGATCTTAAAACTGTCCAGGCATTTGAAGGCACATGAGAAAGACTAACTTGATCAGTGTCATTATATGTATGATTTCAGTAGAAAAAGGCTTGATATATTTGGGATAGGAATTATTTTCAAACTTGAAAATACATGATGAAGAAATGAAAAATACTCATTTAAAATGAAATAATTACCAACCATTTTTACCTAGCCTAGAAATGTACAGGCATTTAAATTATGTTGTAATTATTGCAGGAGAGGACGCTGCGTCTGCTGCGAGTGGCATAGAAGACCTCCCAGCGCGGCCATTTGCTCATTTGAATGGTGACAGTGAAGCAGCAGCTTTCAGTTTTGCAAATAACAATGGTGATCATTAATTCCATATTATATTCATTGTATTAGGTATCAAGTTTTGTATATTGTGAGGGCAATATAAACCTTTTGCGAGTACAAGTTCCGTTTTAATTTGGCAAGTTTAATTTAAAGTAATATTGAATTCAAATGTATACATTAAAAATGAAAATGTATACTATTCAATCATAAAACTTCTTTTTTCTAAATTTTTTTCCTTCTATCAACTGGCATATAAAAATCATCCAAGGCTTTTCTTATGCTTTGAAGGAATATAAAATGCATTTATACTCCTATTTTTCTGTTGTAATTTTAATGTGTGGTTTTCAACAGAGGATAAGCATCATCCATAATGGATGATGGCATCCTAATTCTTCTGCACTGATGAACTCCTCCTTCTTGAACTCTGACTGCTCCAATTCATCCTGGGCTGAGATGTCCAGTTACATTTTGGGCTCCTACCAAATGCATCCTGTCACTCGCGACACAAAAGTTCTATTCATCCTCAAGTACTTACGCCCTGTTGGATAATATCAATAGAGTCTCGGTAACGTCTTCGAATATCGAGCATTGGATCTTATTTTCCATTACATTAACGTGAGAAAAACTTGTCATGCTAGACTTTCTTTTGAGGCGTTAAGGTTTCTTGGCTCCTTGCTATTTCACAAGAAATTCTGCCTCGAATTTGTTAACAGAGGAGGCGTGCAAATGTTGATGCAGGTGAGCGTTAGTTTAGGGTCTGTTTTTGAGTTTTCCATAGCTTATACCTCTAATTACTAGGAGGTAATTACCTAATTCCCTCCTGCTTTAATACTTTCTGAAACTTTGGCTGTATATAATAATTTAATAGAATATCCATCGAGGCTTCTTGCAGTGTTTTTTGTAGTTGATATGCCATCATGAATTACATTGCAGAAATACTCTTCGAGCAACTCAGGCACCCGCGTCCTCTCCCCTCCATCCCTCGGCCGTTTCCATAAGGTTAGGCGAAAACCAAGACGGAACGGCTGCTGTGGCTACAATCAAAATTACGCTTATGCTAGATCGAATACTACGTGCAGCCAGTCAAGCAAGTGGCACGCCGCAAAAGAATAACGAGCACACTCAGTGGAAAGACGTGTCAATAATAAAATCGCCGCGTCAGCAACAACGAGACGAGAGAATGGGAGCAACGCACGTGCAAGGCAACAGAGCAAACAACAAGCAATCGAAGAGCTTTAGGCACCACACAACCTGCTCTCGTGGATGCTCAGTTAACACTCAGTCATTAGATAAAGTAGAATATAAACTATAGCAACGGACTAAAAAGGAGAAAATAGAATTCTTAAAAAAAAAACTTTTTTAAAAAACCACGTTTTTCTTGTGGACTAAAAAGTAGAAAATAAAATACTTAAAAAAAAAACTTTTTAAAAAAACACGTTTTTCTTGTGGACTAAAAAGTAGAAAATAAATTATGGCTCAAAAAACAGCCCGACCCAAAAAACGTGGGTCGGGCTGTAAGTTCACCATCAACTTTCCAAAATTCGTGTTGTGTACTTTTTGCTTTAATCATAAATCTGCCCGACACACGTTTTCTGGGGCGAGTCATAATTTATTTTATACTTTTTAGTTCACAAGAAAAACGTGTTTTTTAAAGTTTTTTAAGTATTTTATTAAAATGATAATTCTGCCATTCTTCTCGTGTGCCTTCAAGCTCTTTCATTTCATCTGTGGAAATGATGATACTCTTGTTAAATTTTTGGTTTTGTCCTTAGAAAATATCAATATGTTTAAGTCTTGTGATTTGTTTTTATTAATTTTTGGATGAACCATCTGGATTTTTAGCTCATTTTCCCTTTCATGAAAAAAGGCGCTATTGATTCATTATTACATTGGTATTTTGTTATTCTAGACACCATTGTTGAAATGCATTATCATGATCTTGAAACTGTTGAAACATTAGAAGGTGCCTGAGAAAGACTAACTTGGTCAGGGTCTTTGTATCTATTCATGATTACAGTAGAAAAGAACTTGATATATTTGGGATAGGATTCATTTTTAAATTTTAAAATACGTGATGAAGAAATGAAAAAGATTAATTTAACATGAATTAATTACCAACCATGTTAACCTAGCCTAGAAATGTATAGGAATTTAAATTATGTTGTAATTGTTGCAGGAGAGGACGCTGCGTCTGCTGCGAGTGGCATAGAAGACCTTCCAGCGCGGCCATTTGCTCATTTGAATGGTGACAGTGAAGCAGCAGCTTTCAGCATTGCAAATAACAATGGTGATCATTAATTCCATATTATATTTATATTCATTACATTAGGTATCAAGTTTTGTAAATTGTGAGGACAATACCGTATGAAACTTTTGAGAGTACGAGTTCTGTTTTAATTCTGCAAGTTTAATTTAAATTAATATTGAATTGAAATGTATACATTAAAAATGAAAATGTTTTCTATTCAATTACAAAACCTCTTTTTATAAATTTTTTCCTTCTATCAACTAGCATATAAAAATCCGTCCTAGGCTTTTCTTATGCTTTGAAGTAATTTAAAAATGCATTTATACTCCTATTTTTCTGTTGTAATTTTAACCTGTGATTTTCATCAGAGGATAAGCATCATCCATGATGGATGATATCATCTTAGTTCACCAAAGAGGGTTACTTTTACTTCTAATCTGATAACAAGCAACGGAATAGTGACTGTAATAATAATTAAAATATGTTGTAATATAAATTAAGCCTTGCGAGGCATTGTGAGTGCATTACCATGACTTAATGTTTAAGTGATGGTAATGAATAACTTCTCCAATATCACAACATGCTCGAGAAAATCCTTTTCACCCTACTCAACATAAATCCAGAATTTTGAAACGCTTAAGGTTGCTTCAGCAATCTTTGAAATACATATACATCTATGGGAGACGAAAGAAGTGATCTTGGTTCATATAACTACTATTTGTAATCAACTAGTAATAGAAAGACACAATTTATATGAGTAGTATCTCGCCGTATGCTATAAGCAAAATGTCATGAACAACATAATAACTGTTTACCTCTTCCATCAGACTCAATCGAGAAACAGTCGCCCTCCGAGACGCACTCGACTAAGTTTTCACCACGCAATTTGGACAGAACAAAGAACAATTTGAATTCATCAGGGATTAACGCAGACTCATTTCCATGTACCCTAGGAATTAGAAGATCATCAAAATCCAATTTAGAGAGCTTAAATTCTTCCAAGAACAATGCAGACAGAACCTCTGAACGAGTCCCCAGCTCTGCTCAGTCTCCGTGCAAGTTGTTCACCGCAGCTTCCCCTGCAAGCAACATTGCAAGTCCTGCTCCTAATTCTTCTGCACTGATGAACTCCTCCTTCTTGAACTCTGACTGCTCCAATTCATCCTGGGCTGAGATGTCCAGTTACATTTTGGGCTCCTACCAAATGCATCCAGTCACTCGCGACACTAAAGTTCTATTCATCCTCAAGTACTTACGCCCTGTAGGAGAATATCAAGAGAGTCTCGGTAACGTCTTTGAATATCGAGCATTGGATCTTATTTTCCATTATATTAACGTGAGAAAAACTTGTCATGCTAGACTTTCTTTTGAGGCATTGAGGTTTCTTGGCTCCTTGCTATTTCACAAGAAATTCTGTCTCGAATTCGTCAATAGAGGAGGCGTGCAAATGTTGATGCAGGTGAGCGTTAGTTCAGGGTGTGAAGACGAGTTTTGCTTAGCTTATACTTCCATTATTGGACAAAAATTACCTCCTGCTTTAATACTTCCTGAAAGTTTGGCTGTATATACAAATTTAATAAAATATCCATCTAGCAGGCTTCTTGCAGGGGTTTTTTTTTTTTTGTAGTTGACATGCCATCATGAATTGCATCACAGAAATACTCTATGTAGGTATTAAATTATAACCCCCAAATTATTTTGTTGTGTTGGATTAATTCATTGAAACTTCTTATCTCTATACCTACATTAAAACTGCTTTTATTTGTAAATAAAAATGTATGATGTATATATTACTATATGATTTTCTAAAAATTCTCTTTGTTGTGTCATATGTGTCTTGTTTCATTACATTTTAATGTACCAGGTAATTTAATCACATTATCGCATTTCCGTAGATTGTTGATGAAACTCTGTCATACTAACGGAGTGTACATTCTTCTTGACGCCAGATACCTCGTCCATCTCTGCCTGCGGATGGCGTTGCTCTATGTCTCTGGTATCTAGGATACTGCGAGGAGGCCATAGAGCGGATGTGTATGCTACCCGACAACGTGCTTGAGTCGCTGATAAAGTATGATACATCGTTCTTATTAACCATTGCCAAGACAATACCTATGATTACTGTGAGCCTAATTGTAGTTTGTGCTTCTTTTGTTTGTGGATTATTGAAGTGACCTTGAATTCACCCTTTTGCATTGCTACATGTTGACATTTTCAATTTGTTTTTTTTTTTCATTGAATTATTGATTATTTGTTACTTTGTCTGTTGTACATTAACTGTTCATTGTTTGGTCTCGACAAGGTATGCTCTGTGGTTGATAGAGTCCGGCCACCCGTCTGGATGCACTCATTCCATCATGTTCTTTGGGCTTGTGTTCCGGTTCCGGGCAATTCTCGACCGCTTCGACCAGCAGGACGGTCTCAGGAAGCTCGTCAATGTCATGTCGACGATGTCGATCCTGCAAAATCTAACAGAAGAAGACGCACCGGACGATCCTGACGAAGGCATGATGTGGCAGAGGGTAAAACATGTCTGCCTCACAGTGAAGAACTACTTTGAGGCTCACTTGGCCATTCGTGCACACCACACTTCGTATCAACGTTCTTTGTCTAGCAATCACTCAGCCACTCCTTGCTACAAACCTCTTAATGTGTCCTGGGAGTCTGTCACTAGGAATGTTGAGGCTCTGCTTGAGGGGTTACCGCTTCGTGCCCGTTGGGAGCCCGTTGAAAACTTCCTCAAACTAAATGGCGTTTCCATATTTCTTCAAGTGCGTTTTGATTTTAATGTTTTCTGTATTACTGTTATACTGTTTTAGTATAATCGGTAAATTGAAATATTCAAGTTTCACAAATATTCATCTTACTGTCACATTTCTACATCCATCAGTGATGATTATACATGATAGCATGTGTATGAAGAGACCGAGATTGGTTATAGTGTTGTGTGGCTGCAGGTTGTGGCGGTGGTTCTCAACAACAGGTACAGCACTCATCGTCCTGAAACTGCAGTGTCGGCCCTCGATACGCTCTACATCTGCTCTGTTATGCCTCAGGTTCAGGTACGAGCTTGGGTTCACAAGAAATTTTTTTTAATGTTCACTAAAGGTATGCATATTCTTAGCAGTCAACAGCGATATATCAAGATTTCAATCTGACTAACACTTGAATAGTTTTGCGTGCAATCTTATGCTGAATTACTTTATCATCAGTATTTTAGCAAGTCTCAATTTTCAGTACGATCTCAATCTTGCGCCTATATAATAACCCTAAACTTTTCAAAATGTACATTGACGTATCACGGATCGTGCGTGCGAGCTCACAGTTATTTCAAAGAAATTTTAAGCCCCAATTGAGACTTCAGGTTATGTTGTACCTATCAGCAGCGCAAAGTTCCCTCATAATACCTTGAACTTTCTGTACAGATGGCTTTCTGCGAGAAGATCACAATCCCTGCCAGTGAAGATTTCTTCCGCAACGTCAACCCGATGGAGGCGCCTGGGTTTGCGGTTCTAGTCGCGTGCATCCCTGAGACAAACATTCAGCCGATGAACGCCACTCCTGAGGTGCAACGTGCAGCTCTGCATGTGCTTGTCAACTGCCTCTGTGCGCCGCTGAATAGGGTGGGTTAACCGCATATATGGGGGGTATTTGTAGTGTTGGTATAACTAACTGTATGACTCAGCCCTAAAGACACTAAATTATGAAATATTTGAGCACCAAAAATACTTTCTCATTCGTGTTGAATTTTTCTGAGAAATTTTCTGAGCGTTTTTTTTTTATTTTCATGCTATTAATATGCATTGGCTCCAATTACTCTACCAGAATTGCCTGTATTCAGTGTATTGCCAAATGTATACTAATATGGCAAGTTTTTTTCCGACAGTCTGGAGGTGCGTCATTCAGGTCTGTGGACGGTACGCCGTCAGGGAGGAAGACGGCGAGGTCGTCTGCTGCAAACTCTGTAGCGTCTGAGGACATCGTCACCAAGAGCTGGGATTGCGTGAGGACAAGCAACGGAATCATGGTAATTTGGTTCATTGTCCTTGATTATAGTTATGGGAAATGTGATGACAGTTATTGTTTCTTTGTGAAGCAGTGGCTTTGATTTGTGGCGCTTGGAACCGTGTACAGTTCCCGCTGTGCTGACGAGTAGTGCGGTTCATTTGCTTTTGTAAGCTAAATAAATGAAGCTTTTTTTGCTGTTTTTTATTGATGATGAGATGGAGACCCTTCTTGCAATCAGCTAATTATTCAAATATGCTTCTCTTGTTCAAGAGGAAACATAATTCCTTTTTGCAACTCGAGATTACGTGTTTGGAATGTTAGCATTGCTGCGTTTAAAGTCTCGCTTATTGTGCTATAATATCAATTTGTATCCTGCGTCACTTGCTAAATTTACTCGCTTCCAACCATAAGTCTACTTTCTCACTGTGTTCTTTAGCGAGAAGCTTATTCTTATTAACAATTTTTTTCAAATTTGATGATACGAAATGACAACCTTAACAATGTTTAATTTAGAATTATCTATCACTGCTACCACGGAAGCATGTTGTCGTTTGGCTATTCTATTAATGACCTATAACTCTTGCACTTGATTTCAACCTTTAAAACTTGTTTGAAACTGTTCACTAGGTTGACGATTAATGAACGCAATCCTCAAGCTGATCATGTTTGTCACAGTATTTGCTGTCGCTGCTGCACAAGAAGCTGCCCATCACAGACGCGGACTGCACGCGTGCGTTGGCGTGTCGTGCACTGGTGGGTTTAAGTCGTAGCGAAGCTGCCCGTCAGATCATGAGCAAACTGCCCATGTTCACTCAGGGTCAACTGCAGCTGCTCATGAGGGAGCCTATCCTTCAGGAGAAGCGTGCTGACCACGTCAAGTTCCAGAGATACGGACTCGAGCTTATCAACGCAGTTAGCGGGAAAGCCTCGGGTGGTGCTGTTGCCACTGTGAATGCCGGTGTGAGCGCCTCGTCCGCCAGTGTTACTTCGGACATTTCTTTGCTTTCTATTCACAAAGCTGATGTGGTGGCACAAACGCGTATTGGGTACAATAAGCGCCAGTTATTACAGCTCATGCAGATGCATCTCGTTAAAGAAGGTCTACACAACGCAGCCATGGCCTTGCAGTTAGAGGCAGGTCTTCCCCCACTGCCCCATCCTTGTCCTATGCCACCTCCGCTCGCCCTCACGGCCACGCCTGCCCCCAGGAACGTGAGTATTGAACTTGACGCAAGCAAATTTTTGAGACAAACTTATCCAACATGCCTTGTAAAATATGATCGTGTCGCCAAAACTGAAGGTGGATTTGGACTTTGTTGCATTTCTGCTACTTAACCACATATTTAGTTAACGCTGTGACTAATTTCTCTAAATTTGTTCTTCCAACTATCGTCGATTCAAGAACTACAAGTGTAATTGACTCAGTAAGAGATATTTTTAATTTTGTTATGTTTATTTTAATTTCAATGAACGGCTTTTATGAGAATGACATACTGTTAATTGTATAGATTCATTTCCCATGCTTGTCATTTCTTCTGAATTTTTTTGACTATTGATTTGATGCGATCGCTTAATCAATAGTTAATTTGTTCCGCTGAGAATCCATATAACATTACTAAAAATAATATATCGCATTTTTCGTATCAACTGAGATAATGTTGTTTGAGATCATGCGCAAGTAGATCGCTGTTACCCAATTTGATAGTGAGAATTTTTGTTTCTGAAGTATCCTGTTCATGCCTCGTTAGGTCTTATTTCGAGAACCGAACTAAAGAAAATATTAGAAATAGCACGTGTTGTGAGTTCTCACTTCTGAGTTCTCTTTACCCAGCTGATCCAAAAATTAATGATCATGTATCCGGGCTGCCTGTTACGACTTTTTGGCTTCTATGGCTTATAAATTTGTGCAGTGCTTTTAACCACACTCTCGTTGTCGTCTCCTCGTCCGAAATCTCTTGGTCAATGACATACATAAGACTGTATGTATTGGTAACTTGGTAATTGTTTGGGACGTAGCAGTCCCAGGCCACGATGGATCGCCACCTCTGATTATCGCTTATTCGCCCTCATTTGGGCCACCTGATGCACGATGCTGTTGCTTGCTTCTCGCCGCTGGTAGTGTTGCAGAGGAGGTCGATCTGGGATAGTGCCCAAGAACACGTCCAGTCGTCTCTTGAAGGTCTCCAGGGTGCAAGTCACGGGATTGAGACTTGCCGATGGAGACGAAATCTCCATCGGTAAGTGAAGTCATAGTAAGCAAGGCAACTGTAGTTTTACGATACAGTTTCAAGCGATACTTAGGACATAGAGTCTTATGTATGTCATAACCCGAGAGAACTCGGCCGAGCAGACGATAACGAGAGTTGGTAAACGTATTGCACAAATTTCTAAGACTTAGAAGCCTTTATGGACATTTATGACTTATATTCTTTGGTCTGAGTGCAGTTTAGTTCAAGGCATCAGATTTATGTCACTCACATTATTAGTAACACACAACGCTGTACAGTACGACTAGTTCTCGAATGGAGGTAAAAATTGCACCACCAATGTGAGGTTGCGTTGCTCTATTGAGGAAAATTTAACCATCAGTAATTCATGATAACTTTTCCTCAGCGTCATCTTGGCACCCCTGGCGCTCGTAACATTTTTTCACCTCTTGCTCGGCCATCTGTTGAACGTCCATCGCCTTCCACTACCTCAACTCCGACGTCCGCCGCCCCCAACTCTTCTTCAGCCAGGGGAGCGCCTATTGGGAGTGGTTTGCCTTCTACAAGTGCTGGTCCAACACCGCTTTCAATTAGACCTGGCCGGTTAGTGCATTGAATTTTATTTTCTATTTGTTATAGTGAAATTTTAGAGTATCGTCAATCTTAAGCCCTTTAGAATCTCAACCAGAATCTCGGAAATTAATAAATAACATTGTTGAATTCTAACGTTCATATTTCCAAAAATTTCAACGAAGAAACGAGTTCATTCATGATTGTGCTCATTTATTTGTGTAAAAATTTTAGCGATCGTGCAAAATTTACGCAAAGTACTAGTGGTGATTGCGTTTTTAATTAATTACATCTTAATTTCTGATCATTTAATGACGTGTGCCAAGTTTATTTAACTAGCGTAACCAGCTGGCTTCCCTTGCAAAGTCTGTCAAAGTTCTACGAGTGCTCTACAGGCGTTCAAAATTTCATGAGAAGAAGAGGGCCTTTACCGTAATTTGAACTGCTCTTGATTGGGAACTATCGCGAGGCTATTCCTTAACTCCCTTCAAGTAAAATTAAAAAAGACAAATTTAGTTTTTCCGCGAATTTTTCATTTGAGCAAACGCGTAATCGTTGTTTCTGTATAATTTTTTAAATCGCCACTAAAAATATCTATTTTACTCGCCTTAATGGCAATAAGCGTACGTGATACGACCGTGACCGAGCCCCCTATATCACCTATTATTGCAATATTTTCATTGCAGTTTAACAACACGGTCCAGGACCCGATTACTTAATGATTTTTTCACCGCAAATTATTTCTCAGAGGATTAAAGAGGTCGGCGGACGGTCGTGCTTTGCCAAACCCGTCGGTATCCTCCGATTCTTCTTCCACCGACATGTCATCCACTCCAGTCTCGTCCACCGCACCAAATTCTAGAATGATCTCTACTACGCGTATTTGCTCTACGCCCACTCCCTCTTCTCGCGTCACTTGTTCCCCTCAAATTACCCATAGCCGAACATCAGGGGTTTTAGTAACTCCCAGCCGCATTTCTACGCCCACTGCCGCTGATTGCGCCGCTGCAGCCGCATCCTGCAATGCAGTTCTTTCCTCTAGTAAGATGTCCATGGTCCCCTGCAGCACCACAAGCTATGGTGCGTGCGGACAAAGCAACGTACCAAGCAGCGGCATCAGCTTGGATGGCATCGTTCGCGAGTATCTCACCAATCAACACGCGCTCTGCCAGAACCCTGTGGTCACCTGCCCTACCTTCGATCTCTTCCAGTACGTTCAAGATGTAATTTTTCTTTACTATTGTGATCTTTTAATGTTTTATTTAATACAAAAAGAGTATTGGTTGAGTATAATCGTTATTTTTCAATAAGTGTTTGACTGTTTAGTTTGTCACTGCTATAATTGGAGGCTCTTACTTTCTTAAAATTATGTTGTTGCATTTATTTTTATTCTGTCTTGAATTTCGCTTACGAAAATGGCTTGGTCCAGATAGCATCATTCCACTCTAACTTTCGAGTTATGGGGCTCTGTTTGAAGTAAGGAACTCTGGATGAATTTCAGTAAGGAATTTCATGTTCAATTAGGAACTCTATCATTTTGGTTACTCTTACCTCTCCTGGATCCTGAGGATATTAGCCTTTGCAGTCCCCGAAAACATTTCGTATCGCGTCATTAATGTATATAGTTTGCCTCAAACTTGCAGCCCTCACTGCAGTTCGGAACCATAAACAAACACGGTCATTGGTGAAATAAACGATTATCATCCGGTTTACTGAATGGTTAACGTTTTCTGCATTTTTTAGCCCTCACCGGTGTCCGGAACCACGGACAAACAGGATCATCGGTGCGTACAACATCGCTCACCGCATCACGCACCGCAGCTACTCAGTTCCACGTCTGGTCCGCGCGTTTGGTTCTTATCACGGCAACATGCGCGGGTCTCACAACCCTGGCGGTGGTAGCACGGCTTACTCGCTCAAGGCCCTCGATCGTAAGTTCATATACGGCAGGTACCGACCTTCTGAAATCATCAGACCGACTACTGACGGATCTGCGTTCACAACCAACTGCTTCTCGGCCGACAACAAAGGACTCTTCGTGGGCACCATGCGCGGAGAGATTATCCTCTTCAACCTCAGTAACCCCACGGTAAAGAGAAAAAATTACTATATTGTTCCGATTGTTTGCATTGATTTCAGGGTTGGCGATTTTTTTGATTTTTTTAAAAAATCAATGATTTTTTTTTTATTTTTTCATGATTTTTTTATTTATTTGATTTTTTTATTTTTTCAACTTTTTTGTCTTTTTGATGTGTTATTTTTTATGTTGCAATTAGCCTACTAAATATAACAGTATATGGATCATAATGGATGGCTAAAAAAGGCACTTATTGCCTTCAATAATGGCCAACAGGCCAAGGTGGTGTTTACCACTTAGGGATTTTTGGGTAAATAATTATTGGTACTATGTCTATTCATTAGCTTTGTAAAGTTTGTATGGAGCAAGGTAATAAGCTAAATATTGACCATTTAACTGGCTTCAATATACTAAAACACCTCAGGAATGCAGATCTTCTAAACATTGAAGAGTCACATAACAGATAGCCTGAGATAGGTAGCTGATAGCACAGTGAACAGCACTATCAATAGATCCACTAGTTTTATGTCTTTTCTAGTTTTAAATTCACATATTTAAAGATTAAAATTAAATATTTTAATTAGAATACTCGTATTAAGGTGGTAAATCTTTCTAATTGCCTAAAAGGTCAATACAATCTCAACCTCTCAATATACAGTGTGGGGGAGAACATATTGAGCAGTTTTGAGGTAAAATTAAAGAGTAATGGAGGTACATAAAGAAGAAAGTTTATTTTCCTAGAGGTAAGCATAACATACCATTTAGAATACTTATGTTTTGAAAACAATATCTGGAAGATGGAGGCTATTAGCTGCAACACACTGTTGGAGTCGTTTTCGGAGGAGGGAGTAACCGTGATAGTGAATTCCAATCGCTATGCTGCAATGTTGCAAAATTTCTTGCAGCCCATGATGGAAAACATCGTTGAAAATGATGCATTGCAAGACGTGTGGTTCCAGCAGGATGGGGCTACAGCTCACACAGCCCGAATGTCACCCAATGTTTTGAAACACATGTTTCCCAGAGGTCTGGTGTCTCTGAGTGGTGATTTACACTGGCCTGTGAGGTCACTTGATTTGAGCATTTGCGATTTCTTTCTTTGGGGACATCTAAAAGAGAAGTTCAGAAGTTGCCCTCACACCCTACCACAGCTAAGGGGATGGATTATTGCAGCAGAGGTTGTGGCCATACCTCGCCATATGTGTGAACGTGCTGTAGGAAACTTCCGAGAACGAATCCAACAGTGTGATGCAGCTAACAAACCCCATTTTCCTGATATTGTTTGCAAAATATAAATATTTTAAATGGTATGTTATGTTAATCTTGAGGAAAATAAACTTTCTTTTTTATGTACCTCCATTACTCTTTTATTTTGCCCCAAAACTGTGCAATCAGTTCTGCCCCACCCTGTATAAGCTAGCTAACACATTTAAATTGTATATTGTAATCAATATATAACAAATAGTCAAATAGTTAAAGACTACTTATAGCCTTATAAGAATTAGCTAAGCTGCTAGCTACGTACAATGTATTGCACACTTATGCCTCTGTACCAAAAACATTCAATTAATTGGAACCTAATACACACTAAAGGCAACAAGTTTATATACCAATTTGTCATTTATAGTACATTTATACTAAACCATGAATAACAATAACTCAATATAAATTAAAGACTGCCACTCAATATATTTAAATATATGAAAAAAATAAAAAAAAAATCGAAAAAATCAAAAAAATAAAAAAAATCATGATTTTTTTATAAAAAAATCAAGTGATTTAATCACATGATTTAATCATTTTGATTTAATCATTGCCAACCCTGATTGATTTATTTTATGAGTAATATGAAACATTTTTAAGTTAGGCACCCAATGGCAATGTTTTTGGCTTTATGAGAACCAGCCCAAGCTCAATACGTTCGCTGCATTTTAGTTCTTAAGATAATGCGCACTTTCATACAAATGAAATTAGAATATGCAGTTCAGTCAACTAAAAATATATTACTGTTTCTTTAAAATATTCAACCAATTTTGCTCTGGTGACGTTTAAGCTTTTCCATCAAGTACGATCCGTTGTGTTTTTGAGTGAGTGTTCCATCTGTACTAATTTTTGACAGTTGAAAGATTTAATTGAAGTTGGAGGAAGATCATTTTATCTTCTAATTCAATTCCCTTCATTATTAAAATTCGTCTACATTCAATCATAACTTAAAATACACATGGAATAATTGAATATTCTCTTTTGAGAATATCCGATACTGCTATCTCCAATTCCAAAACTGTTATCTTCTGTTCACAGGAAGAAGCGTTGTTCACCGCTCACCAAGGTTCCGTCAACCATTTGTCTATCCATAAGTCTGGTTCCTCATTGCTATCTTCCTGCGCCTCCGTGTCGGAGGCAGTTCTCTGGAACCTGGACGAAGTGTATACGACCTCTGAGCCCAAGTTCCACATCCCCAACTGCCAGTACGCAACTTTCAGCAGTCAGCAAGACAAGATCTTGGCTACCATGGACACCAAAGCAACGGTGAGAGATCGTAACGTTTTGTTCTCTGTTCGTCCTCTCTTACGGACATCACGTTTTCATTTATAGTTCATTGTTATCCCTTATTAGCGTTATATTTAATTAGATGAATTGTTTTACAGCCTTGTATTATCATCACCTTTATTATTGGAGCAGTTCTACTGCGATTCTAAAAACATTTTAATTGCGTATCGTTTTTGAGCTCCTTGTCATCACGGCGATCGCTCGATCCACACACGACGATTATTGCAGAAACTCTTACATCAAAAGTAATTTCTGTTGAATTCTTCCTTGTTATTAACTGTACCCCTTCACTAGTGAAATAATGATAGAATTACCGTTGAAGAAAGCAATGATAGGAATGCAGAAAAAATATCGCACCATAGTACTTCAGTGATGAAAGTAAACTATAAAACCCTTGAGTTAGATTGCATGACCTATATACATTGGTATTCTCGATCGAGGTACTGAACTTCGTTGGATGACATTGAACAGAGACGTGAAAGTTCTTATTATTGTGCAGCTACTAGACATCGCAACGCAGGCTGTGATACGAGGTACTTAGCTTCTTTAAATGACATTGAACAGAGACGTGAAAGTTCTTATTATTGTGCAGCTACTAGACATCGCAACGCAGGCTGTGATACGAGACTGTCAGCCGACTCTGTCCAACCACTACCAGAACAACCGCGCTGACATCCACCCTCACGACGAACTCGTCCTTACTGACGGCGTCCTCTTCGACGTCCGCTCTGGCCGCGAGGTCACCGCCTGCTTCCCGTCCTAGAATATTTGCCTTACTAGAATATTTTCATCCCTGGAATATTTCTGTCCCTAGAAGATTTCAGTTCCCAGGATATTTCCATTGTACTAGAATATTTCTATTACTAGAGTATTTGCGATCCTTATAATATTTCCGTTTCTGGACATTTGCGTTCCCAGAATATCTCTGTTTCTAGAATATTCCCATCCTTAGGATATTTCCTTTTCTAGTGTATTTCTGTTCTGGTCCCTAGAATATTACCGTTTCTAGAATATTTCTATTCCTGAAATATTTCCATTCCTGAAATATTTCCATTCCTAGAATATTTTCACTCCTACAATATTTCCTCCCCTGAATATTTGCGTTCCTGGACATTTGCGTTCCTAGAATATTTCTGTTTCTAGAATATTCCCGTCCCTAGAATATTTTCGGCCCTAGAACATTTGATCATCGCTTATATTCAATTAATAATCTGTTTACCCTAAAGTTTCTTAAGTCGGTGTGAAGTTGTTGAACACTTTGTTTGCTTGTAACTTACTTGAAAAGATATAAATGAAGCTATCGCTTCGTTAACGTCCCATATTATCTCTGTTTCATTTGATTTCAATGTTTAAATATTGACATATGCGCTTGTTATTTTACTGAACTACAGTTATTCACCTGCGAGTCTTTTTGATCCAGTACTTGAAGATTTTGTAATTTCAACCCATGTGAATTAAAATTGAATGATTAATTATGAAATTTCTCAAATAACTGTCATCGTCTCTTTAGATCCACAAGTTCGACAAGATAAACCCCTTGATAAACGGCCGTTTCCACCGCAATGGTCTCGAGGTCATCAGTTCTTCGGAAGTTTGGGACCTGAGAACTTATCATCTGCTGCGCACGGTGCCTTCCCTCAACCTCTGCGACGTGATATTCAACTCTACGAATGATGTCATTTTCGGCGTTGCTGATCCCAATGAAATGGAGGAGGATGACTACAACACCAGCTTTAAAGTCATCGATGCCATCAACTACTCCAGCATTGGTGAGATTCTTGCTCTTACTAGCCATTTTTCGTATCCTATGCTAGCAAGACACGTTGATTATTAGTTTTTTCGCTGAAAGAGTAAAAAAGTTATCAAAAGTGCGCGATGTTTCTAGTAAAATGCTTGTCGTCACAGTCGAGTACAGATGGTATATTTAACGCGTGTTTTCCATGAGCTGTTCATCATATGGTTTTTTATGAGCATTTAACGCAGATGCTCTTTCATGAACATTTCCCACACGTGATTTCTCAAACTCCATCTTACTTGATGGAATACATTTTTGACAATTTTTCTTAACGCATCCCGTTTGCTCCAATTTCATTGCTTCTCGTTATACATAATTTTGCCACATGGCATGTTTACATGATTTGCCGCATTGCATGCTTGAACATCATTTGAGATTTTAATCTTGATTTACAGCGACCGTGGACACTCGACGCGTGGTGTCGAGCCTGTCCATCAACAGTATGGACTCGCAGCTGGCCATCGTCGAGGCGAACGGCTTCCAAGACGATCTCGACGAGGTGACTACGTGTCGCCTCTACGACATCGCCATGACGAGGCAGGAGGAGGACGATGATCCAGTGAGTGGAATTTCACGGACACACAACTCACGTGTCGGTGGACGTGGCTGTGGCGTGGCTAATGTGTAGGAACATGGTTCATGCGCGGGAACGTGGCTAATGCGCGTCACCGTGGCTAATGCGCGTCACCGTGGCTAATGCGCGTCACCGTGGCTAATGCGCGTCACCGTGGCTAATGCGCGTCACCATGGCTAATGTGTGGGAAGATGGTTGATGCGCGGAAACGTGGCTAATGCATGGGAACGTGGATAGAGTGTTAAGTCTTGGCTAATTCAGTAAATCCTGTCAGGTGCGTAAGATCATGTCTCTTGTACGAAGTTATCAATGTATGTAGCTTCAGAGGAGTGATATAGGGGATAAGTCTCATGCTTGAGATTACTAATGTCTGCTGCACGAGGGAGCTTATGACTTATGTTTGGGAAAATGTGTATTACTTTAGGTAAGTAATGTCTGTTGTGTGGTAAGACGTCGTTACTTGAGGTTACTGATGTCTGTGACGCGAGAAAATGTCCTGCTGCCTGGGGTAACCAATGCCTCATACTTGATAAAATGTCGGTTGAGTGAGAATTATTGATTCCTGTCCCATTTCGTTAATACTAATTTTTTACAGCTGAGTGACGAGGAAGATGACATCAACAGCGATGATGACGACGATGATAGTGATGATACCGACGACGAGGACCAAGCCGTCAATGATGGTGCAAGTGAGTGATAATGTGATGAATGAGTTGTGTTATTGCTGCTCATAAGTCATGATCGGACAAATATTCAGTTAGGTTTAAGCTCGGTTACTTAATGTTTTACATTACTTCAATTTAATTCTAACCTCCATTGAGTTGAAATTCGAGTTTCAAGAATGAAAATGTGCGCTAAAGTCTTCTTTAGCGTATTTTTCATTTATGAAAAAATACACTATTGTGCTCGCCATGTCTGTCTGCCCGTCCGTGACTTCATGTTTTCGTCGATTAGAAAATGCGCTCTCTGTCACTCACTGCAGTGAGTACTGAGTTAAATTTTTTTTATTAGTGAAGCTTTAGCATGAAATTTGGCTCGCTGAAAGAGGAAACAATTTACTGCCTATGATTGAATTGTTTACGATTTTTTAAAATATATAATGGATTTGTGTAACTGAGCACCAGTGTAGTGGCGGGTAACTTTGTAGATAACGATGCAAAATTAGTTGCATCTATACCAAATAAATTCAAGCGTTCACTAAAAGACATTTCTTCAGATGATGATAGTGACGATAGCAGCCCGAATGACGAAGATATTTTCGATATCGATGACGTCTCGTACGACGAAGAGAACCTGAGCAACGACTCGGACTTCGACAACGATGGCGATGATGATGACGACGATGATGACGATGAAGATGTTGAAGCAAACAACGACGATGACAGCGATTCTGAGTCAGTGTTGTTTGAGCTCAGCACTGACGACCACAGCAACACCGCGGCAACCACCACCACCACCACCACCACCGCTGCTGCTGATGATGACGATCGAAGCAACGGTGCGTCAGGTAGCGGCCAAGCGTCGTGGCCTAGACGTCAATCTGCTGAAGGCTCGTCTAGAAATCGCAGAAAAATTCATCCTGGTTCTGGTAGCAGGGCCACACGAACCAACCCTTCCACCACCAGGAACAGTGAGAATCAAACAGCCGATGACGACGAGTGGGAAGATATTGCGGACGACGAAGAAGAAGAGTCCTGATTTTTAGCTCATCGTGTGAGTATAAATTCTTTAAGTTCTAGTTCCTTATATTGTGAAACGTTTGAAGACCAAGAAGCATTGAAAAGGAAAAACACATGGCAGTTCGTTAAAAACGATCATTTATTGAAGCATGTGCGTGCACCAATTGTTATTTCTATCATTTGTTACTCATTTTATGTTTTTTTTTCACTGGCATGTAGTACATGAATACTAGTATACGATTATTTTGAACAAGATTTGTAGGAGCTTCTCACCCGAGGTGTAGATCCATTTACGCTTTAATTTTAAACAACTATATACGTGGTGATACTGCCTGATAGTGCGTGAAATAAATTTTTCTTTTTTTCTTTCAGATTTAAGTTCAAAAAGAAAAGCGCAGTGAAGCAACTTTGATAGACGTCGCTCTCCTAGTTTTTCTAACTTGGCGCTGGTCCGTGAATTTCGTTTCGTTTGCCGATACCGATTTACACAGCAGTCATTTCGTTGCGTCCTGTCTCAGGGGCTAATTGCGACACTCCTTTCCCCCATATTTTGTTGTTTTTCTATACATTATGAAGCCTCACTTCTATGTATGAAAACCTTCAATAATACAGTTGACTTCTCTTTTAGAAGAACTAGTCAGAAGGGGAATTTGTGGAATTGCTCGCGCCAGTTTATTATGCTAGTTATTATCTTCGTGATAGGCGCCGATGCAGTTTTTTAATGCCATGTTTCATATTTACATATAAAGTTAATTGACGTATATTGACACTCCATTGAAGAAATGTCGAGAACATTTTTAAAGAATGAGTATTTTTTGTTTGAATTCAGTAATGTTGTAGATTTATCCTCAAGGTAGAAATTCACCGTACGTAGATATCTTAGTCTTTGACTGCTTCTGACCGTAAATAGAGACTGGTCTTTGACTGCTTCTAATGTTCTACCGAATGGTGTTGAGCATCTTCAAAGATAATCCTATGTTGTTCTATTTGCACTGTTGATGATTGCGAGAGGAAGAGAACCATAATGCTTTGGCTTGGGGAATAATACACCAGGTTACTGGCTGGCTAAGGGTACGCCCACAGTGAAAGCAGGTTTGCCCGCGCGGGCAACCTGCTCCAACCTGCCACAAGAATGAACATAGGATAATAATGTAAGTGTTCACAGTGAAAACCTGTACAAATAGGCTTCTGTATTCTATGGTTTCAGGCGCCAGCCTGAGCAGGTAACCAGCACGCTGGCAACCTGCTTTCACTGTGTGCGTACCCTTACGTAGGATACGTTGTAACACACGGGCTCACCTACCCTCATGTTTTTTATCCTTTCAAATGAAGTCCCCTTTGACCTACCTAACATCTTAATTTAGTAATTAGTTATTATACGCCTGAATTCTTGACAATATTGTATCACGCACATGCTTCATCTAATTGACAGGAGTGTTTTACCTGCATTAAAAAGCCTCATCTTTTCATTGTGGCGGCGGGAATATACGGCATTGTGGCGGCTTTCATTTATACGGCGGAATTGTCTGGCGTCCTCTGTGCCCTGGCCCTTATAGATCATTGTTCCATCCATCTGTTATCTGAATTATCTTTCAGAATCTAGGTGCTATTACCTTGAACCTTACAGCCAATAGTTATAGTAGCTTGTGCTTGTAATAGCGTTGTTAACCATCGATTTCCATAAGAGATTTTGACAGAAGCCTTATCACATCGAATCAAAATACTAAAAGTTATGAATGCATCGAAGCGAGTTCATTTATGCGGTTCCGTTTGCCCGCGCTTTCATTCATTATCCAATTTTGAAATTATGATGTATAACGAAGATCATATTCTATACATCACTAAGCATGTTGAAGGTGCATAATGATTATGAGAAGTAATGTCCAATAACTGTGATTTCGATAAATATGTACGTACCGTTTACCCGAATTATGTTTAACATTCTGATGGTAAGCGGAGAATAAAGGTTTTCGGCATCTGTACTTTTGAAGTTAGAGTTAAGTATTCGTCATGAGACGATTCATACGTGATCAAATGAGCATCCACCAAATTATTAATACATACTGTGTTATATTCAATCGATTAAGATTAAAAAACTATGAAGTAAACACAGCTAATGAATTAGAATACGGGTTAACCGTATGGTTGTGATGAATTTTTAAAGTCCTTTTTTGCATGGTTTTGCAGAAAGAGTATAAATCTGGTATCAAAAGTGCCCAAATTTCTTGGAAAATGCTTGTCGAGTCTGAAAGGCATATTAATGAAGTAAGGCGATTCAATGTTTTATTAGACCACTTTGTGCAAGTGAACATTGCACAAAGTATGACAACGCACTGGAATGACAGGTGATGAGGTAGGAGTCTGTTTGCACTATCAAAATCAAATACAGTTGATCATTGACATAAGCATGAATAACAAATTACTTGATTCTTTGAAGAGATTCGAACAAAATTTCTCACGTGATCTCTTGGGTGCATAACATTGAAATGCATTGCGTAACATATTACAATTGTAAATTTAAGGATGAGTGATCAATTGCCAAATTTGGTAACAACCTGCAACTTTATAATCACAATTCTAACTTAACATGATAGATCAACAGTGAAGCTTAATCGCTTAGGATAATTGCAATCTCACCGCTTATTAATAAAAGCTGCTTCTAAAGTGCTTTCATCGTAAACAGTTGCCTAATCTAAGCGTATACTCTAGAATGCCAGCAGCAAAATGCCCAGATGCAGTAGAGCGAAAGCGCTAAATTGTTTATTAAATAAGCATCCGCATCGAGTGTGATGCATCGGACGGTTGAATAAATTTGTGGAAGATAATATGCGGAACAAAACAAATGGAATAATTCTAAGTTACATTGCGATCTGGCTGTAAGAACAATCTCACGACAACGCCTTTTGTGGCAATAAGATTATCTAGAGTTAAGGCTTCGTTTGCGGCGCCCATCTTACTTATTCGTACCTAATTTATTGGACGATCGCCATTGCAAGAAAAAAAAGGAGACGCCGCGGAAAACATAGTCGGCTGATCAACGAAAAGCGTTATTGAGCCGGTGTGTCTCTACATCTAATGTCTATCTGCGTACCTGATAATATCGACAGGAATAACATTGCACAAGCCTATCACAGGCTCGTTAACTTAGACCATAAACTCTTTATACGTAAATTCAACTGGAATGGTTGTGGAATAAATCTTCGTCTGGTAATTACGAATTGGAACTTCAAAACTTAACAACACTAAGACAATAATTCGATCTAACAGGATCAGAGATCTCAGTGGGAGTAAATAATTGCCGTTCATAGCCTGCCGAACAAAGCAGTCAACTTATGCGTCGCCTGTGCAACGAAAACAAAACCGAGCTAATGGCACATTGTAAACATTGATATACTAAATTATTTGAAATGTATCGTCTTGAAACGAAAGGCCTTGCAATCCCCCTGAGCCCCAAATAATTGCATCATTATATTATTAATGACTTAACTGTCAATCCAAATTTAAATAGCTTTAGAGAGCAAAGAAGAACAACTCGATAAAGAGTACATTCATTAACTGCTGTTGTACTATTGTATATAAACAAGGCTATAAAACTCAATGACCGACAATTTACAGTTCCGACCAGGACATCACAAGAAAGAAATGTATCAATTAGATTATTTTCAAGTTTCAATCTACGGCACATGTCTTTTGCTTGTGTTACCATAAATTAAATATTTATTCGGTTTAGGTGAGCAGTGATATAGCCGGTCGAATACCTGCTCAAAACTGACTCAAGGAAAACCACCATATTTGTTCCTGTTCTTGTATACGATGTTATACATGAAATTTGCCTTTAGCTCGGCCCACTCCACCTTAGCTTGGTAAACTATCAGCACATGAAGATCAACTGAATAGTTGTAAAAACTGACTCCGTATCTAACCAAGATGTTTTTTGCAAAGAGGCAAAAGAAGACTCAGTCATTGGCCGAGGCTCATCTGAAGTAGAGATGTCGCTCCTTCGAGTTCAGGATGTTGTTTTAATATGTGTACCTGGAGCGATAAAATTAGGCTCAGAAACATTCACTACATTTGCACATGATGTAAAGTAGATTTAGAATTGTAATTTAACGTTTTAATTTAGTCATTTACAACTTCCACAAAGTAAGAAAAATAAATCTGCTGTGAAAATAGAAAAAATGATCATGGTAGGTTCCTAATATGTCTTAACGTGAAATATGCGCGCAAGTTTCGTAAATCTGATACAAAGCTCGGCAACAATTAAGAAGTATCGTTGACATTATAGGATTATCTTGCCTGGAGCTGATCAGGTGCTGGGAAGCCCAGACCACAACAGGCGCAAATGTTAGCGCTTCTGAGGACGTTGGAGTTTGTCTTCTTGTGTCGCGTGAGGTCGCTCAGCGTCACGCCGCTGTAGTTGCACACCGCACAGCTGTGCTCCTTCACTCCTTCAAGTTAAAATCAAACTTGAGAATTAATCACAGATTAGTAATTTGCTGGATAACTTTATACGTTAAATTACGTAAAAGGTCAAATTTTGATAAACGGCTCACGACAAAAACAGACGGATGAAATTCAAATTTATAAAATATGGCGCTAGTTAACTTCAGAAAGTTTAATTCTGTAAAAAATTTCCTCTGATCTGTGGTTAAAAGTAGAATTGTATACCAATTTCAAAATTGACTATTCTCGATGTAGAGCGAGATACCGTACACGCAATGTTAACCTTTGTGCCGGAGCTGATGAACCCGCAGTTGACTCGCTGAGCGAGCAGAATAGCCACAAAAATTGCAGTTGTGAAGCGTCGCATCTGGCGAAGAGGGTGGAATAACATTAATTTGAGCTTTCAAATGACGAATGTCTTCAAACTCGTGTAAACGCGTTAACCTACCAGTAAGGGCCTAAAGTGAGTAAGAAATATTCGGGATGAATAATAAACTAGAGTCAGCAGAGAATTATAAACTAGAGTCAGCACATAACGGGTCTTTCAGCTACTTAGCAAACGAGAAATTTTTAGAGTAGCTCTCAATACACAGCCCACCTCGCGCTGAGACATCCTGAGAGAGCGTCTCGGAGCAGTGAAGCGAGAGGAGCAGCGGTTCCCTGACACCTTCACTTGTCGAACTCTCTCTGAAAAAGAGGAATATAATTTAAATTTCTGTTCACACGGAATTTGCATAAGTGACAAAGAAATGATAGGTTTAAGGTTCATGGTAATATAGATTTGCAAGTTATGCGTCACAGCATAATAACGATTTGCTGGTATCCAGAGCAGAGCTGGAGAAGTAGAGCTGTAACAGAAAATTCGTCGCTACGTTACTTTGATATCTTAGCTGTTACAATATTGATAGTAAAATGATGTATAAGCTTATACATGACAAGAAGCATCAGTGTGAGTAATTAAAATCTTGAAACTTACTTTGGAGATGCGCTGGAGAAATTTGGCGTGTGATCCTCTGGAGATGACGGTTGAATCTCTGGAAGGAGGAAAAAAACGTGTGCGTGAGCAATGAGCGTGAAATTATTACACGTTCCTGTCAGTTTCATAACAATATAAATTCACGACTTCACAGGCCTGTTATATCAATTTACCCCGACAGCATTGTGTCTAAATTATATATCATGATTGTATAGATAAACGACAAAATCAACGGCGTCGTTTTTTAAATTGATAAAAAAAACTGGTTTCATGTTGCAATTGATTCATCTGGACAACTCTGAAAGTAGGATTTTATCGTAGGCTTGTCATAAGTTTCGAAGAAAGTAGTGTTATTTGGCAATCGTTTACATACAAGAGAACAGCCATATAGTCGTTTGTTTACGACCAACTTACCGTTTTCATCAATTACATGAATGTCGGCATCTCTGATTGACGGCTGATCATCGTCCAAGCCATCACACAATTGATTCGTAGGAGCTTCAAGTTTGTCATCCTCACTCACAGTATCAGAGGCAGATGTTGGGACTTGTCTGCACACATTCGCCTCAGAATTAATACTACTGTACCCGAGTGAATATTCGGAATCATAATTGGTGTCAGCGTCGCTTCTGATTAAATCTGTAACTCTGGTGAGATCAACAGGAGACGTTGGGACATCAGACAAAAGAGTAGCAAAAGGCAATTGTGATTTTAAAAGGAGATTAACTCCAGCTTTTGCGAATATCTGCTGTGGCTTCGTGTCAGCGTTGCTTCCCAATAGAGACTGAACACAAGGCTGCATCTTAACGTCCCCTACATTGCTGTTGACGATGTCGTTCATAGCGAGAGATTTCTGTTGAAGCGGCTCGATAAGCTGCAAAAAGTTTTTCAGACCGTTGTCCGAAAAAGCTTTCATAGCAATATTTTCAGCAATGCCATTTTTAAAAGAAAAACCAGAAGACACAGGGTTTTGAAATACTCCGGGCGAGTAGAGAACACCCGCAGGCTTTGACAGTGGCATCATCCCATACTCGCCACTAAGCCGTCGACGACGGTCGCGTCTGATCAAATGTTTCATAGATCCGTCTGAGTGGAAGCGGATCATGTGATGCCGCAAGTTCCGAGGCTCACTGAAGCCCTTGCCACAATGTTTGCAGTAGCAAGGTTTGTAGCCAGTGTGCACCCGCTCGTGACGATTGCATGAAAAAGCTCGATCAAATTTTTTCTCGCAGTACCGACACTGGTACATTTTGAACACATTTTCACCTTCCATAGATGCGTGTTTTTCTTTACCATTCGCAGAAATTGCACCGTTCTTCAGCTTGAGCTTGGGATAGTTCACAGCATGAGTCTTGGTTACAGGCAAAGTGTCGGCTTGTGATAAAACTGCAAACGCAGTCAAATTTTTGGAAACGTCTGCCCCGTTCACAAGTCCTGCGATAACATTCTCTTCTCTAAGTTTCAGAACATCATGTGCTGTTACCACATCTTGCACTTCTGTTTTAATGCAAAAAACTCCAGTTCCTTCAGAGGAACTAACATAGTCCGATTCGGTGTAATTAATGGAACCAGAACATTGGCTGTCAGAACATTGGCTGGCTGAGATTAGGGAAGGCGGAGAATGTGAAATTGGTTTGTCAGCATCTGGCAACTCTCTGTATTTGTTTGGGATCTCGATACAGGGAGAGGATAACTTTTTAAGAGATTTACTGGCATGGCCACCAGCTGCGTAAGAAGACAGTGATTCGAAATTTTGTAAGTTTGTAACGGGAGATGAAGCACGGCACGTGATAATACCGTTGCGAGTCAGCATGTTGCAAGTTGTCACATTTGTCAAGTTCTCAGGAAAATATTGCCTCGTTAACGACCCTCGCCTGAGGGCAGTAAGCATTTGTGCCACAGTGACATCACTGTCGTCATCAGGAGACAAAAACGGGGATCGTCGCTCTCTGCAAGGAAAACAAAAAGAATAAGCAATGCGGAGAGATATAAATAAATTGTTATATCGACCAAGCAACAAAATGTAAATTTATATTCATTCAAAGTCGTAAAATACGGGCTCTAATTATCAGTAATTATGACCCCTTGAAAAAGCCCATACTTGAGGGCAAAATTCAAATTCGTTACATATGATAACAATACTGGTCTTACTAAGAATACTAGCCAAATAATCACTTTTAATGTCTACTCACTCGGGCTCATGCTTGAAAGAGCCTCGGCAGCTCTTATCGAGCGCGAGCTCATCTCCATCTCGCGATGGAAGCTTTTCGCTGTCAAATGCTGCTGAGAGTTTGGCTCGTGAAATATTTTCTTGAGTAAATGAACCACTATCAGAAAAGCTTCTGCCGCTATGTCCAGCTCTGTTTCCGAATGCACTTGAGTAAGTTCGCTTACGTGTCGAACCGGGGCAAGAGCTTTCCGTGATGTCTGTAACATCGCCAACACGAGATGATTCTTGTGAGATTTCTGATGGAGTCCCAGAATTAAATCTCAAATCGCTGGAATCTATATCAACATTTTTATTATTATTGTTTTCAAGAAGAGTATCAATGGATTCTGTAACTCTTTGTGTGCCATTGTTTGAAACTGTAGTCTCATGACGTGTCAATCCCAACTCGGATGCAGCTTTTCCTGGAGAGAGCAATAATTCATTGCTGCTGAAGTTTGCAATACATGAGTTTCCTTTCAGTGTGCCTCCAGAGGTTAAATCTACGATTCTTTCTCCAAGAGATGACGAAGTTTTTTCAACATTTAGAGTGCCTGCAGAAGCAATACTTGCGATTGCATCCACAATGGACAAGGTCGACTTTTCTGCACAAGGAGACGTCGAAGAAGGCAAAGAATACGAAGTTCGGCACAAGGAGTTCAAGTGGATCTTAGCTGGCGCGATGTGCTGCTGGTGGACATGCAGCGAGAATAACGTGGGCGCGTGAGTCGTAAAACCACAAAGAGAGCACGTGTAGTGCGTTAAATGATCCTGATCGACATGACGGTGCAGGTCAGTAGCAGATGTAAAAGCGCAGTTACAGAGGTAGCACAAATACAGCTCACGCCGACACCCGCTCCGATGGTCGATACACAAGAGACGACTGGATAACACCTGCCAGATGAGAGAGATACTTCAGAGCCCAGGATGATAGATTAATATTCATATAATCGCAAAATGGCAATAACTTATTAATGACTTCAAAATTCATTAATTAGCATTAATCAGTGCCGGTGACGATAAAATAAATTCATAACATTATACTCCGTTGTCAATTTAGAAGGACGATGCCAATGAGACAAGAGGCTCGAAGCAGTAAAATTGTAGAAAATGAGACAAATTGTTGAAAGAATTAATGGCAGAAAATGAATCACGAATGATATTGTCTGAAATTTCACAAATATATCAATCCAAAAATTGCATTTATATAGCAACGGAAATAGCCCAAATTTATCGAATTTAAAACTAATTAAGTTTCCACAACAACTTGCCTGTTCAGAATGCACGGTAACCGTTGTTTGCCGATCATTTTCGCTGTCCTCCTTCACTGTGAATATTTTCTTTTCTTTACCAGTATTCAACAGAGGTAATTTTGCGCACACATCTAGTGCGCTTGAATCGTCCCTGAGGTACAAGCGTGCTTGCTCGTAATTAAAAACCTTGGCTTCAAATTCACGAAGTTCGTTCTCCATGTTTTGCCTTTCAACGTCGAAAGGACTCCTTTGTTGCCTGGAACAACTGCCATTAATGCTTCCAGGAGCGTTGGAAATTGAAAGACTATTGGGATCAGAAAAATAATCACTGCAGTCACGGCTAATGAAGTTAGAAATTTTAACGGAATCGCCAATGATACCTTCATCATTTTCGTCAGTCGAGCTCAAAATTTTGGAAGATTCTTTACCGGAATAGGTTGAACCGTCTGAAGAACTATCGCCGATGGACTCAATTTCGCACATACTCTCGGGAACTTTTCGGATGGTGCAAGTGTTCTTGTTGTCTGTAGATTTATTTCGAGTGAAATGAGCAACATCACTGGTACTCTTCAGTCCAGCTGCTCTCGACGCTTCCAAACCTAGTCGTGAGGTAACAGGCAGTTGGAACGTCGAGTTTATAGGCAGGAGGAACGGCACGGACGATACCGAACTTGTTGGTCTAGAAGATTTTGAACTTCTCTCAGTTTGGCCATTTTTTACGACTTTCATCAAGGAACCTGTGTTACAAGTCACTTGTTTAGCATCTCTCACAGCCTCGAGTAAAGAATGACTGCACATTGATTTAGGAGTAGAGATGTTCATGGAGTAGTGGATACTCCCTATTTCATCAGCTAACAGTCCATTAACTGTCGCAGGCAGTAGTTTTTTGCCGTCAAGGAGTACGTCTCTTCGGCAACTGAGATCCAGCGGCTGAGATTCATCCGAGAAGTCCTGGAAATTAAAGAAAACCTTTGTTTGTTCCGCTACACTAAAAGCGATGTAAATAACCATGATGAATATAATCATGATTTGTTTCCACATTAATTTATAGAATATCTAGGTCGCAGAAGAACGACAATATCACTGAGTTCTGATGAAAAACTGAGAGTTATACAAATAATTATTCAAAACATACCAAGTCCGATTTGGTATCTTCTGCCGAAACGTGGCTTTCAGAAGTCGACTTGGTTAGGAGGTGGTCGTTAGATCTGAAACCAGCGCTTCTTCTGACCAAAATGCTATGTTCAGGAGACTTCAAATCAATGCCAAGTTGCTTGCTCAGCGCTGCAAATAAATTAAAATATTTATCACACATGCAGTATACTCAACACGATGCACTTAACTCGACTGAAAAAATAAGAAGATTTCCAAAATGCATCAAGTTGTATTTTATTTCAACCGACTAGAAAAGAAATACGTGGAACATGAAGCAAATTTACTCAAAAAACAGGCACAAATTAAAAATAAAAATTTGAGCAACAAGACGGCAATAAAGCGATATACCTATAGGAGAAAATTAGAACTATCGGTGCTTACTTATGGTTAGAAACTCACCAACATCAAGATTACTAAATGACCTAACATGAGCAAAAGCGGAAAAACAGTCATCGGCAGCAACATCAGCACAGGACTTGGTAATCGAAGCAGTAGTTTTATCTACGATACAACCATCCCGAGTCGATGGAGGGGAATTAAATTCCTGGTCTCGCTCGGTCAAAGGTTTCTTGGTGGTTTCCTGATGCGACATCGCGCTGCCATGGGTCAATAGCGGACTGGGCACGCGTTCCTCAGGCGGTTCAGACATTTTTACACTTTTATTGAGCGTAGATGATTCACTTATATCGTCCGCGGCACAGGCCTGAGAAATGGTTAATGGTGAGTGTTCAGTCGAGTCGAGTTTTTCTGAAGCTTGACATGAAGTAGCTAAGAATTTGAATCTCTTTCCTGTCAATTCATGGGTTTCTTCGCGCATAGGGTTAATTTTGCACCCCACTTTCTTGTTCACGTCTTGATGCTTTAGACGTTGGTAACGATTCGTCGGTTTTCTTTTCATTGCAGTTTTCGAAAGAAAGTTTCGAGAACGATTCCCGCTATCACTTTCAGCAGCAGACGAGGAATTATCTTTCATTTTCGTCAAGATCCTTGCTCTTTTCCGCACTAAAGATGAGCTGGTAGGTCTAAGTTTCCGTGCAATATCAGAGTTGAGAGGATCAGAAGCAAACCTGAACCCGATTCTTCTTTTTGAGGAATCCGCTGCGGCTACCACGATTTCGTCTCCACCTGTTGAAAAACATGATCTAAGTTCAATTTGAAATTGAAGTGGTTGAGCCAATTTTGAATTAATCGAAAAATTGAACAGAATCAACTTTTTTATCGAGAATAAATAATGAATCTTACCAAAGTATCCCAACGAATTGTATGCGAAGAGGTGTTAGTTAAAATTTCCCTTTTCTTTACATTAGGTTTTCTAATAATAAATATTCATTTGTTGGTATTTACAAATACATATTCATTTACTAGCGAAAGTAGATCGTTGAATCTCCCATGAACAATTATCACTCGTTATTTATCACATACTACAGGGAGCAAAGCGATGCTCAAGAATTCCGCTGTTAATTCGATGGTACAAGAAATGTAATACAATAATGCGAAATTATGCAGGTAAAAAGTTTAATTAGCAGTAGATGATTTTTAACTCCAGGAATGCCAGGACCGTAGGACATGGCTCTTTCGGTTGATGAACAGCTCTTAGTTGAACAATGGCCGCATTAGTTGAAAAATGTTTTCAGCAGCTTGGGCATAACAGTCTGAACGCCAGTTCTGGCAGTAGCAGTCAAGAGACGGCAGTGGCAGTCAAGAGACGGCAGTGGCAGTCGAGGGACGGCAGTGGCAGTCGAGAGACGGCAGTGGCAGTCGAGAGACGGCAGTGGCAGTCGAGGGATGGCAGTGGGACAGTGCAGAGGGCGGCAGAGCGGGAGGAGAGGGGAAGGGAGGGGCGGGCGCGTGCAGCACGTGCCCCGGAGCGCCATCGGCCGGCAGATCAATACGACGGCACGTAGCGCGTCAGCAGCTCCTCTGGGTATCACACCTGAACCATTACACCAACCTGAGTCTGCTTCAGCCATGCCAACAATGTTCAGTGAGTCTGCATCATCCATGCCAACAATGTTCAGTGAGTCTGCTTCAGCCATGACAACAATGCTCAATGTGTCTGCTTCATCCATGTCTTCAATGTTCAACGAGTCTGCATCAAGCAAGCCTCCAATATTCACAATACCGTATACATTTCTTATTGCAACTCACACAGTTTTGCGCCCACCCTGAATTAGATTTTGCGATTGCGCCTTCAGTTTAGTTGATAAATAGTAACTCACATTTTATAATTCATAAAATTAGACAAGCAGATATGAAACCACTGATAATATTTATGCTTGTGCAATATGCAAGTGCAGGCCAATGGAAGAAAAAATTTTCCACTCAATTTATCTTTATTTAAATTCTGAAACGAAATGATCGTGATCAATAAAAACAAAGATCGCCTCACATTTACACAAGCTAACTCGAAAATGCAAAATATAATGACCGATAAACAAAAAATTAATGCATCATTAGAAAACGTGTACCAGTGATTGATCAACTAAAATGTTTATTGCGTTACTGGTGTTAACTGTTAACTAAGAGTAAACGTGAAGACTGAGAATATACCTAAAGATCAGACGGGAGGAGGAAGTTCTCTCAGATCGAGAAGACACACGTGCTCGGCAATGCGAGTGCGTGGGTTTCATTGAGTGCAAGTTACACGTGAAAATGTCACCCCGAGAGAGCTGATTAACATAAGAGGACACAAGCAACAAAGAACAAGAGAAAATTTGCGCCTACACTATATTAGTAAGAACATAAAGGTTGTTTACCTGGCTATCAATCGCATGACACTAAAGTCTAAACGGTTTCGGCAAAACGTGACGAATATTTTATAAGCAAACGTAACACAAATACATGGAGCGTATTTTAGACAAAATTATTCGAAATTTGTCAATCAATAAACACAAATAATGGTAATTCAGAGGCGCGAATTATCTACAGTCAAATGAGAGTATCTTTTAAGAAACGACGAAGATTTCAACCATAAACAAAGAAAACGGGGCTACTATTTGAAGTTTTTTAATGCTAATGTCAATTATTCTTTACCATAAGTTTCCTCTTTGTCATTTCCCGAACAGTAAATAAATTACTGTCATCATAAATAAACTAAATTCTCTACAGTAAATTTTGGAACTGTTGAAAATTCATTTTCACCGTTGACAGATAAGATACAGAGATAAGGCGACGTAAATTCGATCAAGAAGAGCAGACTTTTAAACCAGTCGACACCCTAATCAAATTAATGTAAAGCGCTCAAAATCTCTTAAAATGCGCAAAAAAGCACAGTCTCAGCCTAACAGTTTAAAACGTCCTTACACAAATTGAGTAACGCAGTAGACAAACGACAAGTGGCATTAATTTATAGCAAGCCAGTTTTCATATGATAATTGTATAAAAAATTGATCCGTGACACTTTTTCCTCATTGCAGTTGAGCTCGGTTATCTTAGGTGATAAAGTGATATCAAGAGAATTCGATAATTATAAAATGAATAAAATCGTCACAAAATACGGCGATTCACTTGTGCATGGGAAATTGTAGATGATAACGGATTAGGGTGGTAGTGAGAGGAATCACCAGTGCTTTTTATTATTTAATTTGGTTCGAAAGTCCTGACGACTTAAAATATGCATTTACTCGCAATCCGTGTAAAGACATTTGTAAGCCAAGGCGTAAATCTGCTATGAAACAATTTATATGCCGAAATACCGATATTATAGGAATAAAACCGTATTAACCTGCAAATCAACATTACATACGAAAACGCGCAAAATTCGAGGTTGCCTTAAATGCTAACTTCATGCCATACAATCAACGGAGGGAGAAAATTGGACGTAATGTGTCAGCGTTACAATAACACGCGAAGCTGTGAGAGAAACTTGAACGAAAAGTAAAGCGACAGACGAGGCAAACCCGAGGACGATAAAGAGCCGCGCGATTTTCGATGCCCAGCGACCCTGGCTACACGGGTTGTCGGAGCGGCGTCCGACCGCCCCGCTCACAGGCAGTAGACGTGGCAACGTCGCGATCGCTCATTGGTCAGTAGCAACGCGTGCGTTCAATCACCGAAATAAAACTGCCCCCAAAACCTTATACAGACACGCGCCGGAGTCGGTGTCAACGCATCCCATTTCCAAAAAGGTATTTCAAAATTTTGAGCTCAACATATTAGTGAGTATAATGTGATTTTTGCATTATATGATCCTTCATTACTAGGCACCATATAAAAGCGTCAAGTGCTCGCAGCACGTACCGACGCATGCAACACGCACGCCTGCTGCCCCGATGTAGGGGCTACCAACTGCTGCCCCAAGATCCTAAATCCTTGGTAGGATTCCTTCCCAAGCACGGCGCCCGCCTCGCGTCTTGCCTAGACGCGCAGACACCTAACCGAAACCGCAGCCCTAACAGGCTGATGACAAAGGGATTCGCTATTCAAACCATGGCAGTTAATCTAATAAATACTGAAAATAATTTAGTTCATGATCATTCTTATAAAGACAAGTTGGATAAATCAATAACAAGAAGAAGAGGTTATTTTTGGACAATATATTAGTAGTTTACGGCTTCTTTATACTTTTCCACTAACGCGATTCTTCATCGGAGATGCTAAGGAGTTCAAGACGAAATTTATCGCCTCATCAATTAGTTAGCTGGATAAGCCATATTAAAATTGAATAATACAAATTATTGGAAACCACCCAAATATCTGCAAGTCAAATGGTAAATTTCAAAGAAGGTGTTACACACCAATGATTTATTATCGTGAGGTTGTTATTTAACCTTTGTTCACAGTTATATTAACCATATAAGACGCTCGTCAGTGAACAAAGATTAACGGCTGTTCAAAAACGTTTACTTCACAAATTCGGAAGCAACGCCAGCCATGTGTCAAGATATTGAAACGGGATAAAGAATACTAGGGAATAAAAACGACCATGAGATACATGAACCATACATTTATAGCCAATCAGAAGATGACAAGGAGCTCCCAAGTAAAGTGCAGCACTTGTCAGCGGCATCTCAGCATATACGCAAGAAATAAGTTACATAATTAGCAATTATTAACGAGATAAGGGGGAGCGTTGGACGTTACACGTGCACACCGTGTATATGAACGGAGCGGTTGGCAGCCGTGCGCTGCACTTGCTCCTGTGCCCTGGAGCCATGCTACTCTCCCATGAGCGGGTGGCCTGGGGTTCAGGGGGAGGGAGGGAGAGAAGCCTACGGATAAAGCGAGGGGGGGGACGCAGGAGTGCGGTCGCAGCAGCGGAACCCCTACATGGGACACGTAACCAATCACATCCAACTGATTTTTTTTATCGTTCTGTATTTGTCAGAGCACACGTGACTAAACGAGCATTCTTCCTATAAAAACGACGTAAAATGAAATAAGTGGTTACACCAATGGTAATGCTTTGGTGTGAATTCAATAAATTTACAGTAATATGTCAAATATACACTCTAAGGTGAACTAATATCTGTTATTGTCGCAGAAAGTTACAAATCAATACTTTTGATCGCCAAAATATTTGTCTACCTACAAAACTATAGCCTAATACAGCAAATGAACCCGGCTCGTAACATAGCAACGAAACATGATAAGAAAATTCTATTACTTGAAAATAAAATCTGCACTGAGTTATAGCTTAATTATATGGTAAAATATAAATCAGTAGCAAAGTGGGAAATCAGATAATAATAGCACGCGACATGGGCGGTACACTGAAGTTGGTATGCACGACAGAGGCGACGCGTGCCTCCGGTAAGTTAGGCTCCAAGTTTCATCCCGTGCACACGTGGGTGATTATGACTACGCATCTCCAAGAAAACAATGTTAAGCACAATTTTTATCAGTATACACGCTGAAGATTCTCGTTCAATATACAGGTTTTATTTTGTACATCGATAAATTCGTACTGAAAAGGCTAGCCAGGCATCGCCTAAGTATTAAAGGAGGTTTGGTAAACTAACGTCGAAATATGCAAGCAAGCATCCCGAAATTAGCAAACGAAATTCTCAAGTCTCAATATCCCTTGAGAATAAAAGTAAGATGTTTGGTTACATTTTTCAGACGAAAATATGTCAATCGAATAATATAGTAGTATTACAAATTTGAGTTAATTAAAAATAACATAGCCGAAAACGATTATTCAAAGACAAAGTGCAATACAACAGTACCGCTACCGGTATTAGATAGACTACAGAGTAGGTTAAAAATATAACTCAGTACTCACTGCAGTGAGTGACAGAGAGCGAATTTTCTCGTCGACGGAAACGTGAAGTCACGGACGGACAGACGGACGGACGGACAAGACGAGCACAATAGAGCATTTTTTCAGAAACGAGAAAATGCGCTAAAAAGGTTAACATCCAAGATATCCTAAACGACCAGACTATCACTGACAGTCTGACACTATGAGTATGAGAGTTGTACGAAATCAGACAAAATCTGTGTACCAGACTCTGTTCCTAGTTAGTTTATTTGAAGTAAAACAGCTTAGTCTGTTAAAAGTAGAGTAACAGTAATACCTGAGTCCTGAGCAAGACCTCGTGCTCCTGGAACTCGGGTCGTAAAATATTTCGAGCCTTTTTTTTTATCATACACTAACCATATTACCAATCGAACTCAACGTAAGGCATAATACAGATTCTGTACTATACTCGGTTCTTTTAATTTTTCAACTATAAAGGTCATACCTACTCATGGCAAAAACATCATCGCTACGGCGGTACCAAATTAATCAATAGGGCAATGATATAATAATTAAACATAATCATAATGATAAGGCATTTGGTGCTTGGAACAAGTTGGCTCACCGTTGACACTCCACACAGGAAATCAGAAATAATTTAATACAGACTATAACTATAAGGAGAAAATTTTTGCCAATCCTGTGACAGCGTTTAAAGTGATGATCTAGCCTAGCTATGTAAACATTGAAACAATTTATCACATTTCTCCTCCATGTGTATTTATAGATAGCGTTAAAGATAAACATATTTTAAGGTGCGAATAACTAAGCAAAAATAGAGAAGGTATACTTACACCTTAGATGAAGAGGAAATTTCTGTTTCCTACGTGACATCATCCAGGGAAATCCATGAAGCTAACGAGTGGATGATCACAGGGAAAAAATTAACAAGAGCAACGCAGCATCTGTTCAACTGGCTGCCACGAAGCAAACATCTCACTCAGGCGAGCGGCACGGGCACACTGACTGCTTCCGAGATGATGCTCGTGGACATGGTCGCTCGCTCGGTCCGGCCACGGGACACAAGCACCGACTGTCACCAAACTGATTATCTTACAGAACAAAAGGAACCATGAAAACGAAGGAAATTTCAAAGGTCAATCAAGCTGAGCCAGAACGCGAAACTTATTAGCACATTTAAATTATTGATACAGCCGGTCAAATTCATAGGAATCATAAAATTCTTTAATAGTATTTAAATTATTTAGTGCGACATGAGGAAATAAAATTCCGAAATTTGGCCAACTGAACATTAGTTGTTTAAATCTAAACTATAAATTAAGACCGTAATGTAATATTGATTAAAAAGAATCCTGGACACTTATTTTGATCTCACTTTTGAGGTTTTTCAAAATGCAATCAACAAAATTGAATCAGGCTCAATTAAGTCGATTATATATTTTCCAGAGGAAATGCATTATTTCAACTTCGAATAGCCTAGTAAGTGATAATCGCAGCCAACTATCTCAAGTCCATAAAAAAATGAACACTAGATTTGCAGAGATATACAGGCGTTCATTATTAGCAAAAGAAAACGATCGTCGCCCAATTAAATTTATGTTCATATGTTTTCGTCACAAAATAGTAGTCAAGTGTATCCAAGTATTGTATTTATTGTCTAATTTCGTGTGGAGGCGAATATCATCATTAGGTGTGCATCTAGCTTGAATAAAATTTGAAATGAGTCACGCGTATACGCAGTAAGCACAATTTATTTCAATAATTTCTTGTTGTAATAACGCATCAGAATATCTATTAACACAAAGACTGTCTCTTTAACCCCTGCGGCTCGTCGCTTTAGTGCGTGCGTGCACTTGTTCGGCCGTCTGTGGCGGCCACCACCACCATCGTCGTCACTACCATCACGCCTCGTGCCAGCGGTGCCACATCTACGAGTATCATCAGGACAGAGTTCTCAAGTGTGCAGGAATTTGCTATGAAAAATACAATTAATAGCATTCGGTGGGACACTCCCGTTTGATTTTCCCGAATTTACGCATACAGAGATGGGAAAAATGCGTAAAATTAGATTGCACGCGTTTTTCACGATCGGTTTTCAGGAAATAAAGCAGAACAATAAAACTTCTGGTACGGAGAAAGAATTTAAAACTTTACACAAAAACAATTTAGAAACCTCGAGATTAGTACAAATACTCAGGTACATGGAGATCGTGGTGACTTGAAGGGAGGGAAGGGAAGAAGGAAGGAGAGGAGCGCGGAGACCACGTTCACCACGGGATGGGTGGCGGCTGTTTATTAAAGGCAGGTTCGGAGGTACTGAGCGGGAGGAAAGGGATGAGGGTAACGGTCAGGATACCCAAACAGTAGGCAAGCCGGACTGCGAACATAACAAGCTCCTTATGAACTCGCTACCAACACGTTGGGGATACGGCTTGGGGTGACGTGCGTTTCAAGAATGGTTGTAGGTATGAAATTCGCATCTGTTTAGAAATGTGCTTAAGAGACAAACTGAAAGGCTGCTAATATGCACACGCTTCAACAATTATGATGTAGCATCGGAGACTGGTTAGGAGGAAGTCTAAGATAAGAAAATAATTCGTATTAATAAACATTAATTATGAAATTAAAAATCTAAATTTAGAAGACTTCTTCGTGAGCATGAAAGGCTCACTAAAAATTCACGTCCGGCCAAGGCATCCGAGTTTTCATCGCAAGAACAGGCGTCGATTTGAATAATTTATTATGCCGTAGTGTTCAGTCAGTAATGAGCCAATAATTTTTAGCTTGTTTATTTAAAGAGTTACGAGTACCGATCATCATAAAGTTAGACTAGCCTCTTTGTACCCGGTACCCACGCTGCGTCTTCCGCAACGATTACCGAGAAATGCCCAGTTAATTGAAAATATAAAATCGGATAATCATGACTAATTTTAGAGGAAAGAAAACTCAGAAGTAAAATTTAACATTCCTTTATAAGATATGAGCCCATTACAGAAATAAAATAAATCATAGCTGACAATACTTGATAAAGAAAAGGAGAATCTCAAAAAATTCAACAAAATTCTTTTAGTGATATTGCACCGAACATAAAAGTGATTATGAGCATGAATTTGACGTCAAAGAAAATAAATCCCACAATTTTACAACATAACGGTCACCCAACGTGTTATAATTGGAACTTCCGTCCAGCATGCCCGTGATAAAACCATAGGAGCTGTGGCCAACGATAAATTCTCATTACTACAACAGTATTTATGATATAGTGGCGAAGACAATCTTTAATTATTTGAAAAAAGTCCATTCAATTAAACTTATTACATCTTTGTGAAACAGAACGCTGGAGTTCTGGAGCCATTTTCTTGAATGTATTCCGTGATATAACACAAGGTAACATCGCCGTTAAGGCAAGAGAATACCAGATAAGAAAATAAATTTTGAACACACAACCAAAGTATATTTTTATTATTTAGTAGCATGTGTTTTTTGATTTAACAACCGCTGACTTAAGAGCGACCTCATATATAGGCAATAATTGGACTTCTGACATCCCTCTATTATTGCCCATTCTAATGGAACATGCTATATACATCCATTATTTTGTCGATATGCGCTTCAAGGTTTCATGACCACCAAGATGCTTGCTTATCCTCCACGGGAGGAAGCCATTATTAACTAATCCAAGATTATATGACATGCGATGAGGACAGAAACAGAATGGTTCAACAGTCATGGCATCAATGTTCACAGACCAGTTTCAGATAAGACGGTAACAGCAATTTTTGTTTTATCTTAATAGAGACGTTTAGACTTTTTTGCTTTAAAAGAAAATCAATAATGGAAATACATATAGAATCATGTTTACAAAACTTTTTACGATATATCCTTTCTATTTATGCACTTCATCTTCAGTCATGTTTGTGGTAGTATTTCTGCTCCAAATAAATACATTAAAAAATGTGTTGAAAGTTCCTTCCCACTTCTAGTGGACCAAAATACAATAAAATTACACCAAATATTAGTTTCCTCGAAAGTTACGCACAACCATTCAACCTATACTGGTCGCGAGCCTTGCAGTCGCACGCCCAATACTGATGATAAAGAGCAATTTCAACTAGTTTGCACTAAAATTCAGCCTGTAAAATCAACAACAAAATTTAACGTCTAATTATATATACTACGTCGGAGTTAATATTACGCTACGCTTGCACATTGCATTGCTGCATTGGTTGAAAAGATCTTAAACGGGTGTAACTGTAGCCCTGTATGCAACGTTACCTCTGTTACACAGAAATCCTGAAAATATGCAATAATATTTTCACTTACAAAAACTTACATTGGTATTGCATAGCACCACAATGGCAGGTATAGTACGAACTGCGAACGTGAATAAAATAAGATTGTTTCAACAGCGTCCAAGGGGGTGAAATTATAATAAAAATGCAGAATCAACGACTAAAAAATACTTGCACAGGTATTGCAAAAATGCAATGGCAGGCACAGTACTTACTGCGAACGTAAACACAAAAGAATTGTTTCATTATGTCCAGAGACTGATAATTGCAATATTCATGCAAATTTTACGGTTACGTTGTCCTAAATGACCTCATAAATGATTGAGGTCGGATGAGCAAAAAAATTTTATACAAGACAGATTGAGCTACCGAAACTAATAAATGAAACTAACAATGCCGCAGCAAATTCGGCCCCAAAATATTTTACTCAATAAATAAGAACCGGATTACATATTTTAGTGACAATTAAAGCAGGAATTATTTGATAATATACAAAACTACTGAACGTTGATATAAAAATAAGTTGCATTAATACAAGGACAAAAACTTTGGAAAAAATTTAAAACAAATGACATAGAATTGTTACAAAAAATTCCAAGCATATTGTACCTAGGATACACATATTAGGCAGTGTTAGAATTCGAGTCAACAAGAAAAGTAGAGTCATCAAATACTACAGCAAATAAGGCCATAGACTTTACAAGGTGAATTAAAAAAGGGTGGACTCATGACCTTCATAGGGCCTGTGAAAAAATTAGAAATTCGCTAAAATGTACAGGGCATCAGAGGTTGGGAGCCACTTTGTTAAGGAATTTAATGGCAACCTCGTAGCCAAGGAAACAGGCAGCATTGGCAGGGAACGCCCTGATCATGACCGGGGTGAGACCGCGGAACAGAGCTGAAGGTCCTTCTTTCTTCATGATGTCCATGAAGACCGAACGAATGCCATTTGGATACGTGCCTTCAGGAGCTGCACAGTAATCAGTTCATGATAAATAAATAACATAATTAACAATAACAATAATAATAACAGTACTTAACAATACTTAACATAACAATACTTCATTAGTTAACAAAACAAATTATGGTTATAAAATTCCCACAAAAACATCTGTTTGAAATTTGCAGGATTCTCAAGATTCGACTAAGAACAGATCTTAAACTTCACTAGGGCATGGTAAACTCCACCCCATCACGTGTTACATCATTTTCAGGCAGTAAATTGTCTAAATAAAATGATACCATGAGAATAAATGATGAAAAAATTCCAATGACCATCACCAAGACACGTGAAGCATCCTACCCTACTTAATTTGATCAATAATCTACAAAATAACGCCCAAAAACGCATTACATCCGACCCTATCTACATGCAGTGAACGATCCTACCAAACATGAACCAAATAACTGATCACCAAACCCACAACGGAGGAAAGCATCATACCTACCAACACCCTCCCCACAGATTAAAGCCTGTAGCAACCATCCGTTCTTCTTGATTTCATCCACTAAAGAAATAGGCTCAATTTTTGTCAACCTGGTTAGCTAAGTTTTAGTAATGTTCAGTTCATCACCAGCCCTGAACCTGTAAACAATAAACTTGCCTCACACCGTACTCCAGCCTCTCCCTAGCCTCTGAGTGTCTTTGAAAACTTTTATTTCAGCATTGGCAACTCGATCTTTACAAGCCTACCACAATCGATCACAATACCAAGTAGAGCCTATACTACATCCTCTCCCATGTCCAGCATACCGGTCTGTAGTCTGCTCTTGAGCACATCAGGCGCGATGGCCACGCACCAGTTGAGCATACCGGCCAGACCTCCAGCAACCACAGTCCTCAGGGGGCTGAGCTGTGCCTCTTGCCCAGGAGGAGCCATAGACGCCTTGATCCACTCATATGACATGAAGTACATTCCTGACGCTGGCACATCTGCAACACAGGAGACGCTCATACTTACAGAATCCATTCTATTTCTGCTAGTTTGGGACTCAGCAAAAATGCAATGGAGCTGGATTAATGAAAGATGCATGAAAGAGTTTAATGAGTTGCAATGGAATTCAGATGTATTTTATGGATCAACATAGAAAAGGTGATACCCAATCCAAGAATCTATTGATGGGCAGAATTTAATAAAAATTTAATTAAAAAAAATTAATTTAAAATATGATGGGCAGAATTTGGAAAAAATATTGTAGAAGACTATTATAAGCCAGAGTTGATGTTGGAGGAATAGTTCACCTCTAAGAAGAGTGGCACAGGTCCCCTTGTATATGCTGGCAATGCCACCAGCACGATAGAGCTGCTTAACCACATCAATGGGTCCTTTGTAGACCTGGGGTCCACTGCTGGCTTGTTGAACCTGTAACAGCAATTTGTGTTTTGACATAATGCTGAAAAACAATTCTAAATAGTCAAAAAGTACCAAAATTGTGAAAAATTCAAACACGTCAAGAAAGAGCAACAGGTGATTATCCCAACTAATAAATACAACATTTTAGGAAATCAAGTAATGTCTTCAGTTCATTATCTAGAAAAAAATAATTCAAATTGACTATCCATTTTCAAATAAACGTACCTGTAGAAGGCACTTAATCCGTTCGCCGGGTGCCATGATGGCTGTGGTGAACACGCCACTAAGCATGCCAGCATTGAAGAGCTGCACAGCCGTCAACTTTTCATCAGGACTTTTCTGTTGAAGACGCTTGCCAATGCCAAAGCCAAGGAAGCATACAGCAAACATAGGTGTAACACCCATGAGAGGGGCTGCCATACCTGTCAATTATGATGATAAGAAATAGGATGGTTGCATATGTTGTTTAAAAGGAACAAAAGAGTCTGACAAATGAAGTAACCAAACTTCATATGTAAATTGCTTGAACAATAAAAAATTCACCATCAATGTAAACTCTATCTTATATCTGACGCCCAATAAATGAATAGAAGTTTACTGCATTTCAACATGCAACTGAAAACAACAAACCTTTGTATAGTCCTGTGAAGCCTTCAGCTCTGACAGTTTTGACTGCACAATCCCAAGTTCCATTGTAGAGTGGTTGAGTTTTACTTTGAGTTTGAAGTCGTACCTAAAAACAATTAGAATATCACAAAAATCATCATTATGTTACTAAAAGACTTCTAAGACATGGAGAAGTACCATTAACATAATTTCAACTAAATAATTCACTCCACTGCCCATACCTATACTTCAGAATCCTTACAATCATAAAAAGGCAATTTAAACTGCCACCAGCTGAGATTAAAGCTGAATGGTACATGTGATATTAAATCATAAGTCTCTTGTGGACACCAGATTTGGATGAGCATCGAAGAAATTTTCCTGAAAACCTAGGCTGAGCACAGCACACACCATCAGCTGGGCCACAGCACACCATCAGCTGGGCCACAGCACACACCACCAGCTGGGCCACAGCACACACCATCAGCTGGGCCACAGCACATCATCAGCTGTATCAGCTGGGCCACAGCACACACCATCAGCTGGGTCTAGACCCACTCACTCTTTTTTAAGCTAATGTTCCAAACATTTATGTATGTAAAAATAAAGAACTTAAAAATAACAATGCACTGAATAAAGCCCTAAGCATACAAGCCTTAATTACCTTTATAGTATCCAGAGGATGACCAGAAGCCACCAAGCACATGCCACCAAATCCTCCAGCAAGAAAATCTTTTGCAGGACTTACAGCTGGCATTATGGCTTGTGAAATAAATTATCTTTCTTCCAATTCTGTATCTATGTTGATTCGCAAAAGCTTGTTTTCAAACATAAATGAGATGGAAACAATATCTTGAAAGGTCAATTAATTTCAAAATATTAAAATAAAATCAATTTGAGTCTGAATTCGTGAGCATAGTGGTAAAGCAAAGACTTATTTAGACTCTCCCTTTTGAGTTGTATGAGCAGACCCATATAGTATAAGTGATATCAGCAGTGTCATATAGATATTGAATGAATTTTGGAACTATCATCAATGCCAATAATATTGCCACATCACCCGAATTGACAATTTTCAATAGAAACAATTAATTTTACAAACAAAATTGCACCAAATCTTTTTAGCATGATTGAAACAGCTTTGAAATCATCACATGGTTATCAAACTCTACAAATTGTAGTTCTAACCTGTATTATACTGGGTGGGGCAGAGGAACTTGCTTATTTGAATTAGCCTTCCTGAACTGTGATTTGCTTCAATAACTTTAAGGAGGGGCTTAATCACAAGCACAAACTGTAAAGTTTTGTTTATATGATGACCCACATTAATTTATTTTTTTCTTTGCAGTAGTCATGGAATGGACAAATGTGTAATGCCATTTTGTGGATGAGGCACATCTTTCCTCACGAGTCTCACGAGCATCGAAGCCCCAACAAATCAGTTCCTGGGTGACAACAATCTTGTATGGATGGAACTTCAATTCCTCATGAAGGATCCATCTAACAGATCAAGCTGATGAGCTGATGCATGCTTGCAAGCAGATTGTTAAGGAGACCTCAAGATGGATTGCTGCACAGCTTCAATGTTCTGCAGAGATCTTGCAGTCCTGTGGAGATCAGGCTTCTACTTCTCCAGAACACCAGATTCCCCTTCATATCTATACAATCTTTAGTAACAAGCAACATGGTAAGTGTAGTATATATTTGTTGACAAGCAACCAGTGTAGGAATCATTGATGGTACTAGATCAAAAAATTAAAATGAACTGGTTTCCAAAAAAAATTCTAGTTTGCCATAATGCTCATTAGTTTACTGTCATTTACTGTCAAACAAGGTAATAAAGGACAGGCAGGGTAAATTTGGACAGTCCTCCATCATGGCATAAATTGTTATAGCAGCAAAACTAATTGAAATATTGCAAAACTAAAAATAGCAGTGTAAACTTTAACATTTATCCTATCTGTGTAGCATAAAGGAAGTTAAGAAATCATACATTTGCTAGCTCTAAAAAATCCCCTTAAATAAATGTTTAAAAGTGATATTTTAAAATGTATTCTGTTAAGTAATGTACCTAGTAAAAAAAGTATGTGCTGTATTGAAAAATGTAGCTTGAAAAAAAGTTGCAGACCAGTGTTGGCTTTAAAACTTCATGGATGGAATTTTTGTAGCTCAATCCAAAACAAAATGGTGGCCATTTCCTCAGAACATGGTACCTATTAAGGGACAGTGACACCTCTCCCAGCCCAGGGTAATGAAAACACACCCCTTAAAACTCATTTACACTAGAACCTCAGTTAGCAAAGGCTCTAGTTCACAAAAAAAAATCAATTAACAACAAAAATTTTTTATTACATCTGCCTTGCTCAGTGAAAACAAATTTCACTTAACAAAAAATTAATGCATCAAGGGTTACCAGAAAATTGTGCATAGACTTCCATAGACAGAATTGTGCACCGTGCAATATAGAATGGGAAGTATATATTTAACTTAAAGATGCAAAAAGGTCATAAAATTAAAATACAATCCAACCTCATTCCATCGGGAATAATCTTAAACTATGGTATATTTCATCAAAGAACATGAAGGTTGTCACTAAAATATATCTTTCAGTTTCAAATACATTTTTTACAATCTTCTTTCTTTTGTCATGGTAAATCCACTTGACCCAATTAAAATGGTGTAAAATTACATGCCATGTCCTATAAGCTTACAGATACAGAAGAAAAGCTACATGGCTGCTGATATGAAGCTTGCAGTGGACAAGGTTGTTATCAACACTCAGTGGCATGTCCATGACTCCATGGATATGGTAATATCACGTCAATCCAGTAATGTATGAACATGGTAATATCATATCAATTAAGGAAAAATGAGTACAAATTACAGAAAATGATAGTTATTCTACATCTACTAACTACATCATCTACAAAGGAAGAGGAGGACTTGGGACTGGGAATACCTACTGTTAGTAATGGGTGAGTACACTTTGCATGCTTAAAAATTAAGTTTACTTTCAAGTGTCCCAAATCACACCATTCGCCAATTCCAGGGGTAATTTGAATGCTTTTCTTTTGCATCTAGCACCTTACAAATAGCATATGGAATTTTTTGGAGGTGCCATACAATAGTCCTTGCAAAGACCTTTAAAATGAGCCCAAACTCATTTACGAAATGTTTCATGGTAAGAATTTCTTAATGAAAAATGTGCAAAATAGTCCCTCATCACTCAGTTGGACATTGACAATACCGTAAAATGAGGTTACTTTGACCGGCGGGGTAACTTTGACCACTCTTCGTTTTTTTAACAAAAACCCCCAAAACTCAAAAACTACCATAGAACGGGGCTATTCGGGACAAGCGGGGCTATTCGGGACAGACCTATGACACGTCGTAAAACTGTCGTAGTAGCGAAACTAATTGGAATATCGCAAAACTAAAAATAGTGGCATAAACGTAACTATTTTTCCTATCTATCTAGTATAAAGGAAGTCGAAAAATACTGCATTTACTTGCTTTGAAAAATTCCTGAAAAAAATGGTGAAAAACTGTGTTTTGTAACCCAGGTGTCGGCTTGAAAACGTAATTGACAGAATTTGCCTATCTCATTGCAAAAAAAATTGGCAGCCATTTCCGCACGGCGGGGCTATTCGGGACACCCCCCCGGGGCTATTCGGGACACCCCCAAACACGCATTAAGGGTAGAACCTCAGTTAGCAATGGCTTCAATTACGAAAAAAATTAATTAAAAACAAAGAATATTGATCACATTTTCCTTGCTCAGCGAAAAAAATTTCACTTATGGAAAAATTAGTGCATCATCTGTCATCACAAAATTGTGCATAGCATGTCATGTATAGAAGCTAATGATCACGTCAAGTTAATGATCACGTCAAATTAATGATCACGTCAAATTAATGATCATGTCAAATTAATGATCACGCGAAGTTAATGATCACGCCAAGCTAATGATCATGTGAAGTTAATGACTTCAGAGTACTTTTTGTAATGGGTGAGTACATTCTGCATGCTGTAAATTTGTTAAAAGTAAGGTTTTTTGCATTTGTCCGGAATAGCCCTGACCGACGGGGCTATTCGGGACAAGCTCTATTTTGCGTCTGGCACCTTACGAATAGCATATGGAATTTTTTTGACAATGCCATTCGATAGCCCTGCCAATTAGCTATAAAAGGAAACCAAACTTGTTTATGAAATGTTTCATCCTAAGAAGTTATTAACTGTTGTTTAAAACTAATCATTCAATTTTGTCCCGAATAGCCCCGTTCTACGGTATTTGACATAGAAAAATTTTGTCAATGGCCATCAAAGGCCTAATACTGAGGCTACGTAACACAATAGAAAGATTTGAAAAGTTTGCATATCTAATAGGTTAAAAAATTAATAATGTGACCCACAAAAAAGAGCTATTATTTAAAGCCTGTTGGAGTACCCCCTCCAATTTTCTTATTTTTTGGTAAAATAACTCCAGGTTTTGATGCATTGTAGTAGAACTCTTCTAGTTACATATGCAAAAGACAAATTTTAGGAAAGTGTCATAGTTTGCAAATGGGGAGCATCGCCCCCCAATGGGGGAACTTTGACCACCTAATGGCAGCCGTGACGGGGTAACATTGACCGGCTTGGAAAGTAAGTTAAAATTACCATAGGTACCTATATAACATATTTCATGTTTGATACACCTATTAATGTTTTTTTCTTTATGTTTCAGACTATACAGAGTCTTATATATTGTAATTTTAACTTAATTTTCAAACCGGTCAATGTTACCCCATCACGGCTGCCATTAGGTGGTCACATTTTGCCCATTGAGGAGCAGCGCCCTCCATTTGCAAACTAAGACACTCTCCTAAAATTTGTCTTTTGCATATGTAACTAGAAGAGTTCTACTACAATGCACCACAACCTGGAGTTATTTGGAGACAGTTGGAGTTATTTTATAAAAAAAATAAAATTGATTTTATCACCCGGTCAAAGAAACCCCAAGAGCTGGGGTAACAAAGACCATCACTTTTTTGAAATTACATCAAAACTATGAGAGGCAGGAGCCAGCAATTTATATGGTGAGTAAAGCTAGAGTATAGACCTGTATTTTGCATGTTTCATTTTAAGTTTAACTTATCTAGTAAAAAAATGGCATCATTTTGAAAAAAAAAATGGTCAAAGTTACCCCATTTTACAGTACCTACTCAACATAGTGGGAAATATTGCCTCTCCAAAAATGGTGAGAAAGCTCTATTTACAGCTATAATAGTAGAGACTTGTATAATATTTCATGCTAGACTACAGAGCAATTTTGAAAATTGCAGTAAAAAGTTGTCTGCCTTTACTCTTCATTCTTTAAAAAAAAGGCAAGGGCCATAGGAATGCAGATAGCAGATTAAATTGCAGATAGCATAGCAGATACGATACCATTATCATATCGAGTAACATAAGAGCATTATCATCATTATGTATAATCATTCTGAACTCACGAGTTCTTGACAGCTATGGTACGGGTACTTCACTTTAGTAAGTTCAGTTCAAGAGTTTAGTACTTGTCTACCTAGATTGAAATTTTCCTACTCAAGAATGAAATCTCGCAGCCCAATGTGACAAATTTCTTATACTTTTGGATTTTGGAATCTTGCAGCACATGGACAATTGTGCAGTTTAATAAGCAATTAGATAAGAGATAATTCATCTATCACGATTCAGGAATCTCCCAGCTCCAAAAATGGCATCAGCAGGAAAGTTCTACAGTAGTTGTCATAATCAATAAGTCATGGACTCCATGGCTATTGGCTAATGAGTAAGGAGCCTAGGAGGTGGATATATTCAGCACCATCTTGATGGCAAACACTGGCAATCTGTTCTGTGCTTCTGCCTAGTGCCTACAAGGCTACAGCCGGGCAGCCCTGCAGGCTGCACTGCCTACCTACTCAGTAGGCAGTGCAGGGCTGCATTAGAAAGCCTACAACAAGAGCTTCCTCATGCTCATGGTGCATGAATCTTTGAAATTGGCTAATAAAAAGCCTACCTACAAATGATAATTTTCCAAAAAAAGTGACTGAATTTGGTCCACTTTTGGGGTGAAATTGAAAAAAATTCATAACTAGCTTCTTTCATTTTTCGACCTACTCCACTCATATGTCATACTTATATATTTTTCTACATTTTTCTCTTTTCAGTGGAATAATTTTTATTACGATCAAAGGAAAAAAGTTTTTTGTGCACATAACCTACGCTACCTAGGTAGCCTAACTGCCTAAGTACCTACAAGGCTACAGCAGTACAGCCTACTGTACTGTACCTACAATGTTCATAAGATCAAGAATTATGCAGCTTCTTAAATTCTCATTCTCTCTATTATCTGAAACCTTCTCTTTATTATCAGTGTTACCCAGTCTGCAAACCAGAAGCCCTTTTAAAATCAGCTTTAAACAACATTGACTTGTTTTAAGAAAATACGAGTTGAGAACCTCTACTGACGTCGAGAGACGAGACAGCCTGACAGTGTCCGTCAGTACTCAGTACGGTACTTTGCAACTTAAAATTGCAAGAATTCAAACTGCAGTTAGGATTTGGATTTGGGGCGTGGTGACTCTGAGAAAAAGAGTTTCAGGGTCAGGCCTTTGCAACGGCCATCAGCCACATGCACGCATCACATTTTCATTTGTTAGTAAGAAGAAGAAAG